AGAAATTTTTTACTTTAACTGAAAAAAATCGGTACTTTAAAAATGCAAACGACAACAGACAGTCCAAAATTTTTGTTTTATGACATTGTTTTAAAAATTTATAAAGGGAAAATAGCTTTTGGGGCAAAATAAACTTCACAGTAAAATTTTAGGCACGAATAAATTTTACTGGATTTAAACCCCGCCTGTAAAAGTAAAATTGAAGCAACTTAGAAAAAAAGCAATAAAAAGAAGTTTAAGTTGATTTAAAAATGATTTTTGTTTTGTGTTATACTATAAAATTATTTTTATTTGACTTCGTACTAATTTAGAGCTAATATTTATTGTACTGGCAATTTGATGAATCGGGTATGCTTTGTTGAAAAAAAAGTCATTGGTGACCCTGCAAGTTAGTAAGGTAGGTTTCAATCTCATGTATATAAATTTTAGTGGTTACTCTTTAAGCGGGCTGCCCGAAGGTTGAAACAGATTAAACATGTAATAGAAAGAACATCGAAACACGAGGCTGATTTGTATGAGAAAACGTAGCCCCGAGTGTAAATCAGATTGCCGAGTGTTTTAATGTTCTTTCTCCTTAGCTTCATAGACAAATAATATGAAACCCCAGAAAAAAGTAACCAGCGATCGAGCATCTAATTATGACTTTTCTATTGTTATATATTTGCCTGTCGTCACAATAAGTAAACCCCCTGAAAAATATGAGCCAATGACGAATATAATCTGGAGTGCTTATTGAGGAGGCAACAGTGTTGAGAATGATTGCTGGCGGCATCCATTTTTGCGTATCAAATTGAAGCTAATGCATCGCATTTTAAGCCCTAAATCATTAGGACCAGTCAATACAAATTGTTATGCCCATGCTCCGCTTTAAAATACGACTTAACTTAAACGAAAAATTAACATCGAAGTAAACAAATCGGTATAAAGAAAATCGGAAAATATCATTTACGTTACATAACACTACTAACAATAATGATTCATTCCGTTTTTAATCCTTTAAACTGTAAAAAATCGTTCATTGTTTTCTGAATAGCGTTTTACCATTTCATGTTCCGAAAAACAGTTACAGTGAACATTATAGCTACAATATCACCATGCACTATTATATGTCCGAGTGAACCGGGTACTGAAATTTTGCTGCTCCTTTTACTTTTGAACCGGTATAACTAAAGTACGCAAGGAGGATTTTTTTGGCACAAATGGCACACATTTTTCTCAGTTTGATTTTCTTGAAATATTGTGGTTGGAGGCATGCAGCTGTATATACTGTTTATTCCAATCAAATGATATACACATTTTATGCAAGATACATGTAAATCTGGGACTTAAAATTGTTTTATTGACATACTTTATGCCCGTTAGAGAAAATCTCTGTTGCAGAGGAAATGATTCCTTATACATTCCAAAATATTAATCGAAAATTTGATTATTGAATTTTACAAGAAACTTTTATTTTGATACTACTTTTAATATATATCATTTATTTTAAATTTAGTGTGATAACATAACAAAAATTGTTCCCTTTGTAGAGACAATATCCCTGATGCGCCAAGAAAATGTCCATTTCTCCGGCATATAATCTCTCAAAACATTTAAAAAAAGGAAGTGTAAAACAAACTTTCATTATGATACTATATCCAATATAAATAATAAATTCTATTTTGTTAAATAATTGTAATTTATAAATATCATTGAGCCTTTTATGCAAAAATATCTCCAAATATATTCGAATTAAACAAATCTTCCACAGCTGCCAAAAGACCTCTCGCAAGAAGCAAACTTAACTTTTATATAGTTATATATAAGTGTTGGGCCAGTCTGTAGTATCAAGAAGTTTTATTGAATAACTTCATAGTTTTATTAACTCAACTAAAATAATCTTTCGAGTGCAAACTGAGCAGTATTATGCTCACAAGTTCAAAATTTAAAAAGTACGTTGAGTTAAGTAAACTTAACAGTTGCTAAACTTTGCGCGGTCAATAGTATCAAGTTAACATGAATTTTATTCCAGTATGTAAAATTTCGATGAACATATGTATTGTCTGCAGATTGGTTAAATTTTACCAAACTATGCACCAATGAAGACATGGCTGACTTGGATATCTTGAGGTGAAAACTGGTGTATAAACGACTTCCTGAATCGTTTAATCGGATCTATTTATCGCGTTAACAAAAGCAATGTTTTAGTATAAAGGCTTTTGTTAAATTCAGCACTGATTTAAAAATGGTGTTGGCGCATTATATGTTTAAATTTCTAAGTTTTAAGTTTTGCAAACTTAAGCGGAGTAGAGCTAGTGAAGACACCTAAATAGTATAGTTTGTTAGTCAGTTTGTTTGATTGATTGATTGATTGATTGATTGATTTCTGTACACAACAAGAAACCATGGCAACAATAAAGATATACGAAATAGAAACTACATGAATTGGATGAATTTATAACAAAAATGAATTTATAAAAAGCCATCACTAAATAAGCCACTTAAAAGTTAACCCGTTCATTCCCCTTCATCGTACTAGTTTTATGATATTAATCAATGGTTTGACACAGTTTAGATTGTCAGCAAATGGGTATATCAAAATGTAAAATTTTATACTTTGTACTCATATTTCAAAACTGACACGCTTTCAGATTAACTTAAATCCTCCGGAGGTGTAGATTGTAATACACTTGTAAACACTGAATAATCTTTAACGATAAACTATTATTGGAGTGAATGGTTTTCCATCTCTTATTTACGTTTTATTTTTAAGTGTTCTCTGTACAGGATTTTAATAACAACTTTAAAGCGGACAATTTAAATGGCTCGAAAAAAAATGAATAATGGTGTAAATTCTTTAAGGAAATGGTTCGCTTTGTGTAACACCCTACAACATCTCTGTTTAACTTTACATAATTTTGTTACAACATCACACGCATGTTTGTTTTAAGAACTGAACATAACGACTAATGCACCCGACAATACACTGACTTGACTGAATAAAATAGTCAGCACACAACTTAACACTTCTATAAATGAGCACATGGAGATTTCCACCTAGCATATTCTTAACATAAGACAGTTCAGGCGTTTTATATTATTGAATAATAAAAAACGCTTAAATGTGCAATGATTTAGCGCACGAGACATACTGCCTGTAACAAAAGTTATCATTAGAACTCTAGAACATTTTCAGAGTAATCACAAGACCTCTAAGACATTTGAAAAATCGGGTATAAATTTGTTAGCCGGAGCTTTATATTTGCAATTTTGCATTAAGATTAGATAATTACTAAGTATGGCAAGAATGAAGACCAGAAATAAACAGGTCAATAATTTGGAAAGTTTACTCAAACTACCAGATTTTAAGCAAGATGCGACAAAACATGACTTATTAATTAGTTGATGACATAAACTACAAGATGTAAGGCAAGCTAAATCATTAACATAAAACTTACTTTTTAAAGGTGAAAATTATCATGTTTGACAAGTGTTTTTGTAGTACATGCACAAGTTTTCCGACGAACTCCATGCCAGTTATCACAAGAACTCCTGACGAGTTTTCATAAGATCTCCATCCCTCGTGTAACAGTCCCTCCTCCGTGTAGCTGCAACTGCTATGTTTGACATCAAGATAATTCCTCATTAAACTGAATAAAATCGGCACTCGAATAAATGATAAACAAGTGCACCATTTTGCTCTGTGACATTGTCATTTTTCACATCTATTATAAGTGTGATGAGGTGGCATACGCTGATTGACAAAATTAACATTTGTCAGTGATTACAGATGCAGTTTTAGGCTATCGAATGAAAACGTACAGTATAATTGGCATGCCAAATAAGAAATTGAGCAATGTTAGAAAAAAGGCTTTAAATAGAATTTTAATGTTGTTTTAAAAAAAATGATTTTTTGTTTAGTTTTATAGTGGGGAGATATTTTTATTTGACTTCGTACATATTCAGAACTGATACTTATTCTACTGTTATTTTGATGGCTTAAACATAAAACAAACATTGGCGACACTTCAATTTTAATTTTATTAAAATACACAGCTATATGCATATTAGATGATACTCTTCAAGTGTACAGTAAGGCACGTTTCGGGAAGTTGGAAGGGTGAAAACATTTACCAGGTTATAATAAGGCGTTGAGCCAACCAGTAGAATCGTGAAGCTTAATTGACATAGCATGAATTCTCCAACTAAAATTATTGTTCGAGTGCCAACTGAACAGTATCATGTATACTTTTTTTCCTTTTTTTAAATTCAAAAGTACTTTGATTTAAGTAATCTTAACAGTTGCTTAACTTTGCACGTAAGTTAACATGAATTTAATTCGAGTTGTACAGTGTATATATCAATTTTCCTAGATTGGTTAGACTTTTACTATACGCCAATGAAGACATGTTTATATGACCTTTCTTAAGGTGAAAGCTGATGAATAATACGACTTCCTGTATCATTTAATGATTTCTATTTATCACGTTCACAAAAGCGATGTGTTAGTATACATGTTACGTTAAATTTAGCAATTATTTTTAAAAACCAGTTCAATAGATTGCATGATAGTAATATATTTTTAGATTTCTAAGTTTGGCAAACCAAAAAGAGCTTGTTCAGACTATCCCAATGAGGTTGATTGATTGATTTTTATACACAGTCAGAAACCATAGCAACAAGGTAGATATACGAAATAGAAACGTCATGACTAAGATGAATTTAGAAAAAAAAAGTTTGAATTTATAAAAGTCAATTGTAAACTAAAAAATTATGCAAGGGCTCGTACTCTAAATAGAGCTACTTAAAAAACTTTAACTAATTTCACTTCATCGTACTAAGTTTATGCTTATCAATGGTTTATTTAAGTTTAGTTTGTAATTGAGTACATAAAGATGCAAAGTTTTATACTCATATTTCAAAACTTCAAAGCCTTTAGATAAAGTTAAAACTGAAACCCAACACTTTTATTCAAACTTAAATGTGGATTGATATACACCCTTTTAATGTTATAAGATGTTTACAGAGTTATTTCAAAACATAAGCGGAATTACTGTGTAAATCGTGTAAACTTCTGAACAAGTATATTAAGATAATTGGTTCATAATTAATTGTGTAAATGTATGATCTTTTATGTTTTATGTCAATTTGCTTGTGACACTTGTTTCCTGCTTTGTGAAGGCAAACAATAGAATTAAATCAAATAAGTTTAAGTTGACGATGAACTATTTTTAGAACGTCTTATACATAGATTTTTGGAATGAAATGGGGTTTTACCATTTCATATTTACGTTTTATTTCATAATGGACTCTTAACAGGTATTTAAAATTTCATCTTAAAAGCGGACAATGGCTAGAAAAAATGAATAATGTATAAATTCTATAAGGTAATGGTTCGCTTTGTGGAATCAAAACAACAACAGAGGCTATGGTATGTAGTGTTATGATACTTCTTTTTTCATTGTTTGTTTGTAAGTTATCTTAAATATCATTATGTTGATGGTTATTATTTTCATTATGTTTTAAATCAGCATGCCAGCAAAGATAGTGTTGATAGTCGTTTAAACTGCAAAGAGAGTTTCCGATTAATCACCGATTATCGATAAATCACCGATTTATCGGAAGTACCTGACTTTATATTTCATAAAAATACTTTTGTTGGATTGATTTCTAAAGACACTCTTATAAAGACATTACCTAAAATATAATATTTTTAAAGAGCAACAGCAAAATTGTCTCTGTTATTAACATGATTCTTAAAAGAGTTTAGAGAAAGGTTCCAATATTATTTAACGCACGTTAATTTCGTAACAAAATAAACCATTTCCTCCTTCCAATACATGCAAATGTTTAGCTTTCTCGCGCATGTGCTATCTGCAGCGCTAAGGGAAATGCATATTCTTTAGGATTTTATCTGTTATATTTATACAAAATGCAAACAAATACTTTAAAAACAATTTATTTTTTATGCTTAAAGTTTTGCATTTTTCTAATCTTTGTTATTTTTTATGACAAATTTATTAATGGGTACAACGATACTGTGTCACCCTTATTGAGATGCAGACTACCACTATCGCAATACATATTGCGATACACTTAAAACAACCAATAAAAAAATGACCTTTTAGAAATCACAATTATTATTTCAATACGAGAATTCATATAATGAAGTTAAGAGTTATATTTAGAATTTGTCAAACAATCAAACTAGTACATACTTAGATCATATCACGTGACATAAATTTCGTCTGCAGAGAAAGACTGATTGACACTGTAATTTGCAAAACTCTATACACCGTACACCGTCGGATTTTATGGTTTTTAGTTTTTCAGCTCACTTGTTTAATTTGCTCATTTTCATTTTACAGGTTGTTTTGTCTTTTTAATGAAATTATGCTTAACACTATTTTAAACCTTAGTCATTTCTATCCAACCAAACTCGCCCTCCATTTTATAAGTTAAGAATGCAAACACAAATAATGTATCTAAGTAATTGATTATGTGGTAGACGTACAATAAGTATGATTTTTACATTTTAGGTAGTGATATGGGCCTAAAACGCGACACGTGGTCCTTCGGTGGCATAAAATTGTTTAAAAAAATATACAGAAAAAAAAGAAACAACAAAGAAAAAAACCAAGAAACACTCAAAACTAATTTAAAAATCAATATTTAGTGCGATCTTAGCCCGATTTGACTGAAAACATCAGTGTAGTACATTTAAAACGAGTTCCTCGACAACACGAAGAGACGATACTCTAGCAGAAAATTAAATGTTGCCTTTTTGTAATACTAGGCTTTTCTTGATATCCCTTTACAATAACAATTTAACTTACAATGGGTGTTGGCACACGGCTTAAGTGAGATGTGAAATGTCTAAAACACACTGAAAATCTTATATGGCTTGACTTCAGACCGTTTGAAATAAATCGATGTGTTGTCTTTTTGCATTTTGCTAGCGCCGCATTAACAGACCATTTTTGCTTATTATCGTGATTCTGCCTTTCTTCTCCTTACGGCAAGAAGTCATTACAATTTGCTTCGCCCTTTATCGACTTTTCGTCCTTCGCTATCGCGACGATTTTTAACTTATGCTAATAGCGTTTTAGTAAGTCCGATCGATTTTCGCTGTCATGAACATCCATTACAATCGATATTTGAGTTTGACCTATTAGCATAATTTGGTTTATCCATAAGCGGACAAAACATAAATAATTGAATTTGGTTGTGAAATGGCTGCAACAATAAATTATCCAACACTTGTGAATTGATGATTCAACTAATTAAATATTCCTTATTTTATTTTTAAAACAAACAATTGTTGATCAGATAAAGATAGATATAAAGAAAGGAATGGGAAAACTTAAAGGAAGTTAATGATGGGAAGTTAACTTAAACTATATTTAGAAGGATGTGTAAAAAACCCTTATGACGCATAAGAATGCGTTGATATATTTATTTATTTATTCATATATTTATGTGTTATTGTTGGTGTTTTGTAGAGTCATCTGTCCATTTAAACGGTTATCATGATAAATTTTCTTCTTGTCTGACACAGTTAGTTTGGTAGACTAGACACAGTTTATACTTCCTTGATCCGACAATCTAAAAATGTCAATTGCCTACTAGATCTGACCAGCAATTGATATGATTTCAATTGATTTGTGCATATACTGTATCAGGTATTAACTTGATGCATCGGCAGTATGGTTCTCAGGAGGGTTATGAAATAAACCTATATGGACTGCAAGTGCTAAAATGGGAAGACTCAGATATGTGTGCGTGTCTAATATTTGCATCCAGATAATCGTAGTTTATATTGTAAAGGGAACTTTAATTTCTATACAATAAAACATTATCCGAAATCCGAGGTCTGTCATATATAAAACTGATTGCCTCTCACCACTGTAGACTCGAGTGCCGCCAAGAACGTTGGATTATTTCATGTGAGGAAGCTATGTAGCTAGCTTACCCAATGTCGGTGGTTCTACTCAGGTGCCCACTCGTACCTCAAATAATGCGCGAGGCGAAGGGGGCACCTTAAGTCTTGCTACGTCGGCAATGCTGGAAAGTCGCCCTAAGTCACCATGTATGATAATATATTCACTGTAAGCCACACGATGTGCAATTGATACTTATACTAAATCACGATATTGAATAATTATCTTCATTGTTTTTGAAGTGTTAAGTTGCTTGTTTTTTTCCTACTTAAGAAATAAAATGTGTCACACAGGAGATATACTCAGCTTTGATCTCATGTCATTTACCGTTGACTGATAAAATGTGGGGGTTTATTTATTTATTTACTTTCTATTTCTAATTACGCTTACTCAGCAGATGGTGACAAAAAAGATTGCCGGCAAAAAACAAATGTTGTTGTTTTCTTAATTATTCTTTGAACAACATGTAACGTTGCAAGACTATTTATTAAAACTAGATATGTTTTATTGCAAAATGTGATCTTATCTCGCAAGTAATATATATTTATTGCTGAATTTTAAAAAATAAATCCGATCAGAATAAAGTATAAACTAAATGTGTTTAGTTGATTGTTATCATGTTCAAATATTAACAAATCTGAATTATAAAAATAATAATGCATTTTATTATGTAATCTATAAATAGCATTACAATGTCTCTTGTACTAATTGGTTAAAGTGATTTTTTCAATAATGGAACGTTTGTAATACAATATATAATTAAATTGATAGAATATAGCATCATGTATGACGACAAATCACGAAATAATTCAATAATGTTGTTTTGGACATGATCCAATATTAAATATCTATATATGACAGATAATAAATCATCAAATAAAAGTTCAAAACAAATCACTTAGAACTCTATCAACAATGTTTTTCTAAGAAATATTTTATAAGAATATGCAACTGATACATTTCTTTAATTATTTGTATCAATATTTGACATACTTATAGAAAAACGTGTCAATTATTGTAGACCAAACCACTTTAAGATGTTATATTGTTTTAAAAGAATAGTCAATCAATATCAGAGCATACTCCCTTTTTATATTGGAAAGCAAAAAAAAATCTATTTTTAAATGTTATAATAACAGATATATAGACGAAATGTAAGGATATTTTGAGGTGATTTATACTGGAAAAAGAATATAATATTAGTAGCCCATGTAAATACAATATTTTCACAACATACAATACATTATTTGAGTGATATGAGGTGCATATCCAAGTATATGGACCTTACTATTGTGAAATTCACAAATCGTCATACAACAGAGCGTTAATGCATCTTTTTTTCTTTATCTATGGGGTTGTGGGGGGTGGGGTGGGGGTGGGGCATTTACCTATACCTTTACACAATAACGCATTTAAAGCCCGAACCCTCAAGGAAAAAAGTGCATTTGCGCTTTTCTGCGTAACAGCTGCATACTTCTGATTTGTTTATTTCACGTTTTTTGTTGTTTGTCTACTTCCTAAATGTCAATATGAATGAAAAGGATATAAGTTCTCACACATGATCAGGTTACGTTAACACATGATGGTGTCAACTTATCAAAATATACATCTAAGCTACATTACAATATTTTCATATTGCATCGTTAAATAGCATATTGTGAAAATGGCCGTTTTCATTTGCTATATAAGCCTCAAAAAGGGGAGGGACAAAAGCCGTCAAAGCACGTTTATATGAGGGAAAAGGTTAAAGACTCTTAACGTAGTTTGCCCCCATACTTTTTTAATTGGTACATAAATAAGATTTGGCACAGTAAATGTATTATCACACCCACAACTATGTGCTATTTATAGATATTACTAATTTTCCTTTGGGTATTCCAATACGAGTCCATAAAAATAACGATATATCCTTGGTATATTTCATTCAAAATCTAATTTATCCCCCTCACCCCCTCGGGTCCACCAGATATGCATAGATTTAGTCTTCTGGTCCAAACATTGGGAGCATTTTCGTAGTCTTTGCTAGCTATGTTGCTAAGACCAGTTCTCAACTGTTTGAGCTTTTGGATATGTATTTGTATACAAGAGTTGATTATGTTTAATAAGCGATAGCCAAAGCAAGTGAAAACGCATTTTATTGGCTTTAGTAACCAATACAATGCTAGAATGTCCGAGTATTTTGATAGATCCCTACTGTGACCTTTTATTTGAATAACAAAGATTTGTGGAATTAGATAGGTCAGGGATATATGTCATTTAAATTTCCTTGTGATTTAATGGAGAAAGAAAACGGTCTATTAACATTAATTAAGATATAAAGATCTACATTTGATTTAGATCATTTTTAACATCTTTTGTTTTTATAAAACTTTTTAATACTATGTACGATGTAAGATTAAACATTTTGCCACTTTTGCAGCCAATGTAAGTTTGTTTAACAGAATTATTTCGCAGTGACTAAGTTTGTACTTGTAGTGACAAGGAAGTTTGGATGATTCAATCCAGTTTCTTTGTATACTTTAGGTATCCCAATTGTTTAGAAGTGCATATTAACAAATACATGTATATATAGATATATACTTATATATACTTATGGTATACGTGCATATCAAGCTGTATTTTATAAATAGAAATACAGTAAATGCGTGTTGTTTTTTTTTCGCAGAAATAAATATACTCGTAGAATGTATGTTATGACCATAATCATTTGCGCCTGTCTCAAGAGAACTACTGTAACTGGTAATTACAAATTTATTTTTTTAAGAAAGAAAAATGGGGAAATAATTGAGTTAACAAAATGATCTATCAATATTTTTTTAAATATCATAATGTTACCATTTGGTGAGTAATTTTAATTTATTCTTGAATACTGAAATTGAGTAAGATATAAACATTAAATCTAAAGATGATTTTTAACAAAAGATATGTATCTTTTATTTGTACAAATATGAAAATGATATATTCGGTTTGAAGTGACAATGTAGAAGCTAAATATTGCCAAAGATAAACTAGACATATGCTGCTACTTTGAATCACAATATTTATACAGAATATAAATATACACAGCAGTAAAACTTATATTATTTTATTTATGAAATAATTGTTTTTCACGATGAGTCGTGTGGTATAAGTGATATACATGGAGTCTTAATATCATACCGATGAAATATAGATTTACTTTAAAACTCTAAGACTTTGCAATATTTGTGCCAGTTCCTAACTCAAGTGTGAGGTCTCGATATTACATAAAATCTCGATGAATATTTTTTTTCTTCAATTTCTTGTGTTAAATTCAAGTTCATCCATGTGACGTTAAGAATTCTTACCTTATTTTCTTTTTCTTTGTTTTGCACATTCTCTGCTATTTTAATACCTTGCATAATCAGAATAAATGAAATTTAATGATAAATACTATAAACATAGAACCCTATAAGATTCTGTGTTTGATCTTTTTTTCTTTCGTGCAAATCACATACAAATCATATTTCAAAAAAAAAAATGCGAAAACTAATATTTTCATTAGCATTGATTTATCAATGACATCATAACTAGCTCGCGAATTGTCTTACACGTCGGGATGGGGATGAATTTAGTTTTGTAGCACCGGTGTTAACAATGTACAAGACACAAATTTTAACATTTATAAAGTGAAAATCTTTTTCCAATATTTCTTTCTTCTATTTTTTACTCTATACATTCAGTTACTTTTGTTCAATTTAAACAGTTAATTTCAATCTGAAAAATTAATGATATAAAGCGTGTTTTAAACATTGACTTTCTAGAAAACGTTGTTGTTATAACATGAATAGTATTATTATTGTTATCATTATTATTATTATTATTATTATTATTATTATTATTATTATTATTATTATTATTATGCAATATTTAAATTTATGTCAAACGTAAAATATTGATTATGAGGTTCTTTTAATAGTATTTCTTTAATAGTACATAAGGAAATAAAAGACTGATACTTGATTTAATTTATTATCTTTTAAGTATCCTACTTAACAAATACAACGAAACAATATTTTGTTGATAACAACATAGAGTTTTCTGTCTTGAATTTCCGTTAATGAAACATATAGGATTTTACCTAAAGTAAAATGAAATTAGTGTTCCAGGTAAGCATTTTTTTCTAAAAGATGATATTTATGACACACTTAACTAATTATTAGCATGAATTTCGCTCATTTTACATGTTTTTACATTGATTTTGTTGTTTTACCCTATATATTTTCACCTACATGTACGTAGTTTCATCATATAAAAACCTATCATAATGTAATGTAAATATGATTTTCATAAATGTAATATTTATTCATTTTAACATTTTCCCCGATCAAGAAAATTATAAGCTAACTTTTTTACGTTAAAATTTAGGTTACGTGTGTGAACACGTTTATTGATAATCTGTCTGATCTTTTTAAAAATGGATTTGCACGGTTCTAAATTATGAACATACAATTCATTCATTTACGGATTCTAATATCAAAACAAATTAAAAGACTTACTGTCTGTACATTTTTAAGACAGTTTTTAATTAGCAAGGGGAGTGGTGGCCTATAGGCTTAGGTGTCTGCCTCCCAACCCGGGGATCATAGGCTCGAGCCCTACTCGGGTCACAACCATGTTTTTCCATGACACCAGTACTGGTAAGTATCAGGAAGCGGACTCGAAAGTGGTTAGTATAAGTTGCAAGAACTTGTTTCGCAATCGAGCTTAAATAAATATATTTAAACCAGTAGCATTGCTATTTATCGCTTATTTTAAATGTTAAATGTGTTCATCATTTGTATGTTGCTATTATTATTTATCATAATTATTTAATCTTTAAATTTATTTAAGTTTCATAATTGTACAGTTCATAGCATCAATACATGAAATTTATACATATACATTGCACATAGTCTTTCTAAAATAGAATTGTTAGAGACTACTAGGCTTCATTTACGGACTTTTAAAACATTTCTATACCAAATCTCTAAAATGAATGTTAATCCTACAGCCACATAACTATGTTACCAGGGGTAACTGATATTATAAACTGACATTGTTATGAGTTATGAACTTAAATCAAATAATCATGTTAACTAACTGTGAACTTATTCTCCATTCAAAAATATTGTTAAATAAACAACTAAACTATCTCTAGTGAAATATTATTAATTTGAAAACAGTATGATACATTTTCAATACAGGTAGTTACAAATTTTCACGTGTTTAAAAAAACTGCGTAATATAATAATACAGTTTTAATTTAGAAAAGGAAGTGTTCCATTTATTGGCCGCGCTTTTTACCGGATTTGGAAAATCCAGTTTAAAAATAAATATGGTTTGATAATCTACCGTATAGCAAATGTATACATGTATAGTACCTTTACACAATACTGCACGACTTGTACATTAACCTTTTACAGGTTATTTGGTCGCTTATGAACAGTTGTTTGCGATAAACTGAGTCATATTATATGTATTACTTCACGAACATATTTATTCTAATTAGTTATAGCTGAAGTATATTTCATAGAAAAAAAGAAACATTATATTATCAAATGTGATCACTGCATAAAATAAACAAGACAATCATCAAGGCAGTGATTACTGGCCGTAGCGCAACCGGTGCGCTGAGTTTGGGAAAGTCGATTGATCGGCTCCTGCCCAGAAAAAACAAACAAATTAACATGGCGGACTTGTTTTACTTCAATTGTACACTAAATAACATGTGAACTCATTGAAACATATAATCTTGGACAGAAAGATACACTTTAAATCCCAGATATAATCATGTTTTATACAGGTTTTAAACAAAAAATGCACATCTATTGGTAAGCTGCTGTACAAACTTGTTAAAATGTATGATTAAAAGAAGAAGAATTATCTTTAATTATCTATGTCGTATAATTGTTGCGTAGATCACACTGATAATGAATTATTAGACGTTTTTATGATTAATTTATACTAAAGACAACAGTTGCATTGTAAATGAAAATACTGGATTTACACTTTTATTTACTAATTTTTACAGTGAAGTAAAAGTTAGACGCAATATAAACTCTCGATCGTGGTTCATATTCCCGACCCTGTTACGACATATTCCCGACCCTGTAACGACATATTCTCGACCCTGTAACGACATTTCAAAATGGTTTATAAAGCTTAATACAATTCTTTAAAGATCATGTAACACATTTTTTAATGGTTTTAAGTCATAAATATGATGCTCAAAATAAGATTTATCAATATTGTAGGTTCCAAAAAGCATATAATTTATAAAGATTTTACCGAATTTAACATTTCATGTAAATAAAATAAATAGAATTTATATTTTTTTTATAAAGTTAAAGTCAAATTTTGTAAAAAGAAATAAATGCATATATTCGAATGATTACATATAATATGCACAAGTATTTGCAGTACATATTTTAAATAATCTTCGATGTTTGAAAAAAAATTATTGCATAATTATGTACATATATATAATTTCACTTAGTGTGGTTTACCACTTTGATCACAACTTACAATCATAAGCTCTTTTTCTTCGGTATAAATCTACTTATCTATTGAACTTTTGACCAATAAAGTATGATAAGACTCTCTTACTCATGTTCTTGTAATTACTGACTCATGCTTTTCTAATTAGCACTTACAGTGAACAATAGTGTATACATGTTTTAATAGTATATTAATAAGCTATCGGTAAACAGGCGGAAAATAATTATGAGGTTTCAAATGAGCTGTTTGTATACATAAGTTTTCAGATGTTTTTATAAAATAAAAGTAATATGGTAAAAATGTATCACAAAATATTAATTTATCCTGTTTAATACTTTATTTGTCATGAACTTCATGAAATTTTGAATTGTTGAATATATCTTCCTTACTGCCAGCTTAGATCGATAGGGAAAGCACCAATGATTTCTGGTTTGATATTTAGGCAAAGTGTTATCTCTCCATGACAACAGATAAAAACAATATACAAGATTTTACCTTATAATTGCATAAACATTTTACGTGTGTGTCTTTTTTCTTCTTTTTGCAAAAACAAAAAAGTTAGAAAAACCGATTCAATACAAAATGAGCAATAGATAATGATTAACACAAAATAAAATAAAAGATACAACTTTCCTGTTGTGCCAGTAATCCTACACATGATGCTTGGTCGAAATGAGGGATGCATTTATTAAATGCCACCCTTCCTTGTTGATCTTTTACTCGTATTTTATATTTAACTATTTCTAGCTGGCTATAAGACCTGCTGACTTACCTTTAAATCGACAGTTTGGTACAAAAGGGTTGTATCTCTTTTTTTATTTAATATGAGTTACAACCCTTTCCCACCAAGCCATCGAAATGTTCAATGATTATATAATTATTATCTTAATGTCACATCATTGTTTGCGAGGCGTAGTGTCCCGTGCATTTACTCAGATTACTTATGTTTCGAATTTTTGAAGGGGAAGGGGGTGTCTCACCTTTATGATGGAATTCTTTTATTATTATAAGTCCTAACTTATTAAAAAATCTATCCTAAAATTAATTGTTATAATATCATATAAGATTTTCCAACTTCATTTACAGATGGACATCTAGGGTTTGTTCAAATGAGTTTTTTAAGACTAAATATAATTAATTATCATTATACAAAGGAGAGAAGGCATACAAAATGAAAGATTCGCTAACTTGACAAGCAATGTATAACTGTCCATATCACGGTGCCTATACTACATGACTTTCGTGATCTGGTCGCAAAACTTTATTATCATGGTATCTATACTACGTAGTTTTTGTGATCTTGTAAAATTTTAGTATCACGGTGCCTATACTACATTAGTTTTGTGATCTAGTCGCATAATTCTACTATTGCGGTGCCTATACTAGGTGACTATTGTGATCAGGTTGCACAATTTTACTTTCACGATGCCTATACAATGTGGCTTTTGTATGCTTCATGTGGCTTCTTGTTATTTTGTTGTGATTAATGCTTCCGAGGGATCACTTTGTTTCAAGAATTAAGACGCTTCAGGTGATATTTTTCTCTCCCCACGTTTAATTTTTTTTTGCATTATTATAATTGAATCATGTGAAGAGTTTTTACACTCACTCTAGTGAGTCATTCATACACAAAATCATGTCATGGGGAAAAAGGACTTGTACGTGTATAAATCTTAAGTGAAACTGCGTTGTTTTAAGACCTTTCTCGTACACGATTCATTCACGAAAAAATAAAGGGACTTTCCTCCGAGAGACATTTCCTGTATGCAAGTTGCATATTGCATTTGCTTACTCAAGACTTTATCCCATACAAAAAAATGAAAAATATTAAAAATATTTCGTAAGAGAATATTACCTGCACCGTATTCTGTATTGGTGTATCACAAAAGTCACGTGGAATATGCACTGTTGAAACAAACAAAGCACACTTAGTACAGTTCTTACTACGACACAGGACAAATATATAAAATTTGATAATCAAGATCAACAAGGAAAGGCTGCGCTCAAAGAGCTTTAGAATTGTAACGCAAATTAACTTTTTTTATCAGATATGAAGCCAAACCAAAAGGAGTCTTTTTGAGTGATTTGAAAGACAATGCCTACAATCGAACAGCCCTTAAATATAGGTAAGACTTTCATACTTTTTAGTTACCTTATTGTAAAAAGATTTATGTATTCTAACTACGCATATCCAATACTTGTTTAAGGAGAGAGTTTCTAAAAAAGCTTGTAGCTTCTAAACTTGATTGTAATTATTTCGCGTGACGTATATACACTATATGTTTGATTGAAATGAAGTATTGTTTAAACTTATAACTGTTCAAATACTGCAACGTAAAATCATTTGAATTTATGTCAACTTGCATGTATGCAGACGGACTGCAATGCTAGCTATCAATATGTAAGAGTTGATGGAAGAAATGTGTCACAGTGTCCCCACTCTTTTGGTTACGTCAAAAGTGTTTATTTTGTTTTGTTAAATACATATTCATATATACAGTAATAAACTTAATGATTTATGTAAATAATGTTAATTTAAAACAGTTCCACTTATGCTTATAAAACTCGTGGCTATCTGATTTGTACAAGGGGGGGGGGGTAAATAAGATTGTCCCTTCGCTTTTGTAGTATATGCAAAAATAAAAACACTTTCACTGTCGTCACAATATGAAACCCCAGAAAAAGTAACCAATGTAAAAGCATCTGATCTGAATAGGACTTTTCTATCATTATCCATTTCCCTTTCGATACAATAAGTAAACCCCAGAATAAATGTGACCCATCCTCGAGCATCCTGGCAGACAGTGCGGTAACTGGAGTGCAGATAGCCAAAACCTGCAACGCATTTAATACATTTGTGGGTATAACCCTGGCGACTTAACTCTTGTACATTTTAATAGCAAGGTCTCATAACTATGATACAATGTTTATTATAGAATGCTTTCTTTGCTCAACCCAATCCTGTAATTATTACGGATTCATTATTTCTCTCCTTGACTAAGATATGTTTCTTGTATGATTGTAAATTTGGTAATTTTAACTAAAATGCAGTTGTTCAGTAGTAAAGATAATCTACAATTGCAAAGTTTTAACGTTTATTTAATACATTATCTTGAAGGTGCTGAGGACCTTTTAAGAGGTGTTGAGTTCACATATTGCGGGGATATATATGTTCTCAATAAAAGTTTAATAGGAAAGAAATGTAAGTATGTGTGCTGTTTTTGTGATTAATTTTACAAATAAGATCATTCCTTCTGTTTGGAGCAAATTCAATTGTAAAGCATATATATGTTCGCTGTTAATTGGGGAGCCATATGCGAGAGAACAGTTAAGTGTGTTGCCTTTAAATCAGTTGTCCTCATCGCTATGGTTGTGGGAGAAAATTGGGATTTTTTTGTATTTCATGATGCTATCTTGGTTAGCTAATATTGATGGTCAGTGTGTCTAAAGAGGTATGTTAGACGACATTTGTGATAATAGATATTTTAATACATTTTCCAAATATAAGACATGCATTGTAATCGAAACGTGCAATGAAAAATAAGCACGTACAAGTAAAGTTAAACGAGACTTGTATAGACCTAAGTTCTTCACCAATGGGCATGTGTTTGTGATGTTATTTCGTCTGCATATGTCTGACTGCCCATCATTTAAAGAAGGTATTTGATGCCTTTGATCCAGCATATATAGTTGTGGCATAATTCTTATGCTATCAGTCTAACGCTACTAAAGCAGATGTTTATCAGGTAGATGTACATGAACTGATCGCAAATATTAGGATGTCCAAGTTAATAACACAAAATAGTAACATATGTTTAAAAGAGCCATCCGCACTGACCGCAACTAATTCTACTTTTCTTCTTCATATTTTCAGGGAAACAAAGATATGTGATTATATCGCAATGTTGTTTATATATTTACGCTAGTAGAAAGGCTAAAAAAGCTGACCAATGTTACTCATTCAAATATTTTGAAAGGTATGCATACATCGCTAGTTAGAATATATACATGTATTCGATATTTATTCGTATATTATTTAATCATGGAACAAGGGCCCATTATATCAAAATAACGTTTTTATCCTTATTTCTGAAATTCTTTCGTTCTTGGCGTCCTATAGTTTCTGAAAATATTCTCATTTGCCAATTACCTGAACAATTTATTGCTGTTTAGAAAAAAGTGCCGTTAAAATGAATTAAGTTATATTGTTACTTTGTTTACATCTTGCTACTTGCTACATCATGTTACATAATTTTAAATTCAGTGCTACTTTCTTCATGTAATAAGCATCTTAATGCTCTAAAACATTATGAAACCCTTATAAAGCACATGTTTGCCCTTTGTATAGAAATAAAAAAGATAAAAGATTATTTATTTCTGAGGCATAATGTGCCTTTGAGTTAGATAGGTATATTAACTTGATGTTATATTTTAAGAGAATTTTTCTATTTTAGTTCAAGTTTTATTTAAGCAGTACAAAAATAATTATTATAGCAATTAAAATATACTGGCGGCAACATTGTTTCAGTGCAACAGAGAGTGATCCGGAGAATGGTGAAAAAATATGTTTCCGTCTAAGTTACACTACAGCGCAAGCCCCAATATTGTTTTCGTGTGATACTGCCGATAATAGGACAGTAAGATATCTTATATATTATTTAAGGGCGATTGATATTGTACCCAGGTCAACCTTACCTTTTGTTCAGTGACATAAGGATACTTTGCTGCTATGAAATTAAAAGTCAGATTATTTCAATCTCGTGACTGAAATCGCCATGAGAGCAGTAATATAGACATTAAGAGTAGCAACTCTTAAGTTGCCGTGGTACCGATAGAAGCAGTAATATTTGTTTTTCAATACTTACATAATATAATTATATTCTAGAATGTAAAATTAACTGATAGAAATCTCGTCTTTCTTACTTTTAGTCTGTAGTAAAATTTGTCTTTTCTTTGTTGATTCTTTATATTTCTCTATTTTACAAACATGTATGAAAAATAAAGTTTGTATTTTGTTATAGAAATGGATTCAGGAATTCAAAGCAGCAATTTCTGAAGTAAGGTGGCATAACTATTCAGCGTAAGTTATTTTGAATATGTTCTATTCTTTTAAAACATCAATATTATGCTTCATGTTTTTCGAAGTTGTATCATGACGACTAGGATTAGTGTGTTATTTTCACATTCTCTGTAGATATCAACCACTAAGCATGAATTATTGAAAAATATATCAATTTATCAAACCATGAGTGCATTTTCCAACCGTAAAAGAAAACCGGAATGGTGATGTTATATAAGATTGTCTGGTATTTTGTTTTACAGAGACAGTGGCTTTGGAAGCGCTGAGGCGACGGCTTACAGTAGCGTACAACGTAAGTAATCTTAAATTTTCATAAAAGGAAACCATTTTATCTTACTGTTATGATATTTGATATTCTATTCCTAAATTAAGTAATTATGCTGTATATAAATTCGTTAGAAAGTATGATATTACCTTCGCCTAGCGGCTCGGTTATAAAGATGTTGGACAAGTTATATGACACTAGAAACACGGTTGTTTTGAAATTTAACCTGAGTCGCTAAACAACAACCGTTTATATACAGCCATATAACCTGTCAGAAATATTTATAACGAATTTATAATACAGCAACCATCATTTTGTTGGAGACAAAAGTGAGATTCTTCATAAATTGACCGCAGCCGTGTATATAAAACTATGTAAACGTCACGATTACAATGAAAAGCGACGTTACAAACGTGCAGTATTTAACAAATAAAACATAGGCTTGGGGGCAATATGCAAGTTTACGGACTGGTTGGTCAGACTGAGGAAGGTATATGGCCCGAAGCGCAGCTGAGGGCCATATTCCTTCCTCAATCTTACCAACCAGTCCGTAAACTTGCATTTTCCCCGAAAGGCAATGTTTTATTTGTTATATTATACCGAATCTAAATCCTTTCATCCATTTGTTTTGTTCTGTCATTTTACTATTATTTGCTTTAAAATAATAATTTTACTTGTTCAGTGTGTGAAATATCTCAAACCCTAGTCGGATTTTGTTTTATTATTTTCAAGCGATGCAGCAAAAAATCATGCTCTTCTTTTAATATTCCATTTTTGTGAATCAAATTAAATATTTAATGTTACTAAGGCAAAAAACCCGGACTTTAAGAATTTCACATACTGTATAAATAATATTTATAATCAAATTAAATACAAATCATGACTTTTGATCAATATGTAATAAATTTATGTCTCTGATAAAAAGGCGATTCGGTTGTGTCGTCGTAAAATTCGCACGCCGTGAAAATTACGTTTAAACGGTCTTCATAAGAATTATGGACCGCCCCGGTCTGTATGCGGTTTATGGACCGGATGACGTCATATTAAATATAGAAGAGCATATGCAAATGAGGTATAATATATTATATTAATACACTTATTACTGTATATAGTAATAAATTTGTCAAGGATTTAAACTGAGAGTCACGGTACCGATTATGAATTTGAACCCCGGGGCTGATAACTGATAATCATAATCGACCCGCTGAATATGAGTACGTGCACAAACGGAAACAATGACGTCACAATTTTATGTAATAAAATCAGCTTGTTGTAAAGTGAAGCACGAATAGCTCGATTTTAGAATCAGGACATAAGCATAACTTCTACAAACACAGCTTTATTGAAATTTACAGAAATAAAATACTAGCTACAATTTCATTCCGAGATAATAAATCGTGTTTCTTTATTGTGTTGGATACAAATAAGGGAAGCAACTCTGTATAAGATACTGTACAGTACATTTGAAATCTATGTGCAGAGATAGGAATGTCAACGAAAGAAATATTTAAGTAAATTAAAAATAAAACTGCTTCTGTAAGATCTCCAAGTGTATTATAGACATTAATACACGTCATAGATGGGCCAGAAGGTTATAATCGGCCCTGAAATGAATAATGCCTTCGGGCTGAAGCCCTCGGGGCCATTATTCATTTTGCGGGCCGATATCGCCTTCCGGTCCTACTCTTCCGTGGATTAATCTTAGAAGTTTACAACCTATCAGACATCGTTATAATTAACATCATAAATGGCAGAATAAAATAACTAATATGATAAACAGATATGACTTAATTTGATTTGGCTGTATATGCATGATCTATTTTATGCATAAGATCCCATACATATAAGTGATATGAATCCAAAAAGAACAACCACACGCGTACATTCAGTTATTTTTTTAAATATTCAAATCGATTTCGAACAAATATGTTCTTCGTCAGTGAATAAACAGGAAGTGAATCTATTTTTTTTATACATATAAGTGGCAATAGTAGGATGAGAGTCGTAGGTTCGATTTAATAAATAAATGTTCATCAAAATTATTTATCATTTATCAAAATACAAATCAAAGTGAGTTACCAGCAGAGTCTGTTTAGATGTAATATAAAGAGGTGGTTAAAGATCAAATTGAGTTTTATATAATACAGCTGTATCCACAAAGTCAGTTATACCAGATAGTAAAATACATTAAACTTAACCTCTTTACATTTTATAACTGAAATTGCACCAACTGCTTATTTTAAAATTTTACCATCTTTTAATGTTACAATTGATGGTTCACATATGTGCTGCTGAATTCCGAAAACGCTAAAAATCCGTCCCACTGGTGGTGGATTTTAGAAGCTACATTGTTTATAAATCTAAAATATATAGACTTGACAAAGAGACCAACTTAAGCAAGTGTTACTTATTGAACTTAATCTTCTGCTGTGTTTGAGAATGTATGATGTATTAATAATCATATTTCAATCAAACTTTCTCACTTTCTTGAGTCAAGGACCCTTAACGTACAAAAATACCGCTTTATATTTTATATTAATTTTGTAATGTATACAAACAATAACATTTCATTATATAAATTAAATTCCTAATTATCAGACCTACATTTTAGCGATTAGGAAAATATAATTCTTTGGTTCTTTTTTATGGCCAGCTGGGGATTATACAGATTTAAGATACGATGTGGTTAATGAAAGCCGTTTTGGAAATGCTAAAGATGTGAACAAAAGTACAATCGACACACGTTTGCCTGTTCAGCCTTGTGGTATGTAATCTTTAGAAACCTTTAGATATATACACTATCAATTATCTATATTCTGTTGGATATAATGTAACCAATGCCATACTATGATTGTGCTGTTTGGTGCAAACAACAATGAAATATGTTTTGATAATTGTGAGTGCTGGCCATAGAGATATCACATATTTATAAACATGTATTTCTGACAACAAAATATTTCTTGTGGTGTGTCCATTACCAAGAGTTCTAGGAATGAAAACGAAAATGATGATGAAAAATTTAATAAACTAGTCTTAGAAAAAAACAACATATATGCACACATAACACATTGTAAATAAATAACTAGCTGAGAATATAGAACCTTAGTGAGATGATGTGATGAAATAGAAAACCCATGACTACAATTTATGTTAAATAACAATTATTTGGACAAATCTTATGGCTGTAGAAATATTCCGAAAATTACAAAAGCTGCAATCAAGGCGTTTGAAATAATTCAATCATCGTGAAGACACCTTTTATAATTTCAAAAAGAATTTTGAATAATTAATGTGTGTGGTATATACTTACATCATGTACATGTGATGTTTACATTTATTTATATAAACATTTTTTTCATTTTTTAATCTGAGTATCTGACAGATATAAATTTCTCAGAAATGAGTTAGAATAGTTCAAATATGAATGCATCAGTAATGTCATCTTGCTCAATAACGTGAAAATGACGAGGAAATCAAGATTTTGAAGGTGGCATAAATGTAAGCTACACCTACTTTAGATGTATCTATTGCTCATTCAACATTGCTATCGTGTGTATACAAATTCAAGCTGGGTTGTCTAAGAATAATGTCGAAAAATATTTTAAGAAAACGTTGTTGGTTGGTCGTCTTCCTTAACATCCTTTTCTGTTTCTGTAGCAACCTGCATGAGTTGACTGTGGATGGCGCTTGTCAGTGATTTGCCCTTGTGTACACTCCTTATTTTATCCTTTTGGGCTCTTTTCTCGTGGTCTTGAGTTACTGGGTTGTGTTTTTGGATGCGTGCGTTAAATACCGCTTTTCCTTGTTTATTTCTTGTTCTTATATATTTTGCAAAGGGCCTGTTTGAAGAATCATGAAGAACAATAAAATATCTTTATCTTTGGCCAGTTTTTGCTTGTTTTAAAATTCAAATGTGCTTTAGTTCCAAGAGATGGTGTATAATATGACAAAACATCGGCAACCTATGTCAAAAGTGCTTCTTATGTAAATGATATAGCTGCTACTGTAACTGATTAACGATAAACCACTTTGCAAATACTAGTAGCTTGTGTGGCTTGGATCACATTATCAGCAGATCATACAATTGTCAAACATAATTTGAAAATGGGACAGACCTGTGCCAGATTGATTAACCATCTGTTTACAGATAAGCAGACAAAGGTGATAGCTGATGACTGCTTACTTGAGCTTACCATGTCAGATTCAAAACAAATGTTCGTTATAAAGTCTAGTATACGATCGTTCATTTACAAATGCAATTTAGGCCAAACTTTTATCAACACAGGGTCCCTCAGTTAAGTTTGCTTTATAATAAGGTAATCAGTAAATTAAAATTTAAGGTTTTGCGAATGTCAACGTTCTGCATATCAGTGCTTCATCGTAATCAGCACCTATTGAAAATGTCTTTCTTAAACAGTAAAATAATTATTCTCCATTTTTATTTTATTCCCAAGACTAAACAAGCCATTTTCCTGTCAAATATTTGTCCAGTGCAATGCTTTGGTCTTTCCATACTCTAGTTTATCCTTAGCATACCTTTAAAAGACTATGAAACTTCATTTACGGATTTCATTAGAATACTGAAATTTTGCATATCGGTTAAAGGTGAATACACAAAACACATAATGTTGTTAAGATGCATTAATATTTGAATATCGTGTTCAAACTGGTCAATATCAGTACCTTCAGTAATTTTATTGTTACAGACGATGATGGAGAATATGAGGATCCGATTGACATTCAAGTATCTAATGTTCCGTTGTACATGAATAAGGTACATGATGCAGAAAATAAACGTTACGATCACAGAACTACTGTACCTACAGGTATAAATTGTATATCTTTATTTCATCTTGTATGTTTTTGATTTTGACAATATTTTTGGTATAGATTTTTTTCAATTTTTTTTTTCTGATCCTTTTATTCAAAAATTATTCTTTATAACTTATTGTTAAAAATACATAGACAACACTATATAAGTTTTGATAAATGTACGGTATTAAGGAGCTTTATCGAATGTTTAACAAGAGATAGAAACAAACAATATAACACTCTTTGATTAAAACATAATTTTGTGATGAAAAATAGTTTTTACACATCTATAAACTAGTGTTACCAATAATTGCAATACTTATTTACCTTACACTTGTTTTCAGGAAAATCGGAAAAGGGTACGCGTGCTCCGCCGAGTGACTTAATGAACGAGCTAAAGAATCAAGTTGAAAGTAAAAACAATCCTTCCTGACACTTGTATCAATAAATATAACTTCATATGTCGAATGCATTTCTTAATTAACATATGATAAAAGAATGATCATTTTATTGAATGTTATGCGATGTACAATCTGTAATATGTCAGTGACTGTACTAATAAGATTTTTTTACTCACTATACTGTACTACTCTAACATTATCGCGTTTTATCCCATTTAAGGCAAAGAACACAAATATACAAAAGTGAAAGCAAAGCCTACACCACCGCCAAAACCAACAGTAAATGGATCGCTTACATCTTCACATGCTTCAATGTCATCTTCGAAAATGCCTTCATCACCTTTCTGTTCAGTTCGTCAAGGAACGAACGCTTCAGAACTGCCACGTGATTTTATGACGTCTGCTAAAAACTTTTCATCGTCTTTCTGCTCAGTTCAAAGCAGAACGACTGTTCCTGAACATTCAAGAGATTTGAATTCGTTTTCGAAATCTACGAGGTCGTTTCATTCAGTTCGAGGGGTAACAAATGTTCCGATTGAAGAGTCATCTCAGAATTCGACGGTCGACGTTCATGAAAATTTTTACGAAAAAAATGACTCCGATGGTAGCACTGACAGTGGCGATACATCGCCTAAAGTTCTTTATGAAAATCCAGAAACAGTACAAAGTATGCTGACCCCAGTGAGTATATTTCCGCATGCGTTCCCAAAGTAAAACATATGTGGATTTATTTTTGTCATATCAATTTCAATTTCAGTCAGAATGTCTAATTTCGTTGTCATATTTTTATCTGATTTAACAAACAAAAAATGCCTCGTAAGAAGCTACAGTGCAGACTCTCTATTCTAAAATAAATACCAATGTGCTTGTAATAAGACTTGTTCCCAAATTAAATGAATCGGGGCATACATAATTTCCTTTTTGCTTTGTTTAAGTAAAGTCTATATGCGTCTAGTTTTAAATTACATAAGTTTTGTTCCTCTTTTCTATGTTTAAATTGGTATGGTTTAATTCAGAACAAATTTACTTGTTTGTTTCAGAAATTTGCAAGAGAAGACTATTTGTGTGAGGACAAAGGAAAGGGTAAAAGGTAGGAATGAAATAACTCTGCTTCTACGCATACTTCAATTTATTAACATTCTCACGTTAAACATAAATATTCAGGGTTTTAATTCGTAATTTACGTCACACCAATGCCGAAGCTGTCATATAACATCTTCTCAGATTCCCTAGTGAATTTTTTTTCTGTTCTTAGTACATATTCGTCATTTTTGATTTTGCTGAATATTTTGGCCCATCGTGGCATGTAGATATAAAACATGTATAGAAAAATAACACTTGCTGATAAGTATATTTTTAAATGCTTAAGAACATGTAGACCTTAGTAAGTTACGGAGTAAGCACTAAAGAATAATGTGGCAGATGGCACATAACGCCCTGACGTTACGTCACTTCCTTTGATTTGTCTGATTATATTTGTATATATGATAAATGCTGCAGAAAAAGGCAGAAAGTTACGGCAAATACAAATAAGCGTTTCTAATTTCAAATGTTTCTATATTCATCCAGCTCTATGAAGAGCTGAATATTAAATATTGCAGAAATATTTTACTATTTTTATATCAATTTAAATTCTTACGTCCAAATTAAAAGATTTTTCTGAAGTCGATGCACACTATCATAAAATCAAAATAATAAATTACATCTCACTTTGTGAATTATCTTCAACCTCATTTAACAGCCTACTCATTCATGTAAATGATAAACCAACTAAATGTAAAAGATTCTGTATGTTGTTATCGAACTTGTAACAACACTTAAGTGAAATGTTATATATGTATTTTATATAACAATTTTCAGACATTGGAGAATATGTAAAATATGTACTGCAAATATGTGTCCACATTATATGTAATTATTTAAATATATGCATTCATTTTGTATTAAAAAATTTGACTTAGACTTTATAGAAAATAAATTTCTAATAACCTCCCTTTATTAACATGAAATTTTAATTCGTTAATATCTTTACAATTAATGTTTTTTGGAATTTACAAAATTGATAAATCTCCATTTGAGCATTATATTTTAGATAAATAACCATAAAAAATGAGTTACAGAATTTTTAACAATAGAAACATCCGCTACCTGTTCTTTAAAGATGTTATCATGTTCAACTTTGATATCAGAAAAAACGATAATTGCTACACAGTTTCTTTGTAAATATACAAGTAAAATTAAATTGTTTTGATTTCCCATAAAGAAGATATGTTATGTTTAACACACTATAGGTGGCCAAATATGAATAATATAGTATCATTTAAAAAAAAACGTGCATATTTTTTTTAAAGAAAATGCCTATTTTACTTGACCTATAATAGGGAACGCAGCTTCCCTTACTTAGTTTACTCATTATTCATTCAAATTAAGTAAATTTCTATGATTGAAATATTACTCAACGATGGTCGTAGTATATTTTTAATGTGTTAAGTTATGAAATAAATATGCAAAAAATAGATTTGATTATCAAAAAAGTGTATTTTAGGTTGTTGAAGAAACAAGAAGAGGGTCATTTTGCTGTTTTCCCAGTAGGTGACATCCCTGAATATGTAAGTAAATAGTTCTGTATAGCCTATATATAGAAGGATATAATTATTCAAAGGATAAAAAATATAATAACAAAATATAAAATAGCTGAAAGACACCAAATATAGTGTTTTTACGAGTAAAACAATTTAAATAACTACGTCATAGTGTGTAATGAATTGAGATAATGCTTTGATTCAAATTATTTACTCCATACTATTACTGAAAATCAACATCCAAAGAAATAAGGGGTCCTGTTTCTTTCTTTTATTTATTCATCAACCAATGTGCTCGCTCAGAAAGGGTTTAATAGTTCTTGACAATTCTGGAGATGTCCAAAGCATTCGTGAGATGTTGGAAATTGAATCCACTTTTCAATTTCAAAGAGACAAAAAATGCTTATCAAGTATATACGAGTCTTAGTCCTTAAGTTTAACATGACTGTTATCATTTAAAAAGTAAAATCAAATACTTCTAATGCTCAGTTTCTTACAGCTGATACATGCACCTATTCATGTGTGTTTTTTTCTTTATATATTAGACTGATTTAGATTTGTTTCTTCCTTCTAGGAACTATGTGTCAAAATATCTAAAGGTCTAAGATATTTCCGGATATATTCCCAGGTTTGTTTTTCATGGTATTTAGTACATGTAGGTTATAAGTTTTAAAGTTTCTTGTTTCTTCACATTAAACTTTATATTCGATTTAAATTAAATTGATTATCATGTCATAAAGACTGCAAGCTCTGTAAATAAAATCTTTAAGTTTTCTTAAGCTTGTTATATTCTATTGCAAGTGAAAATAGTAAACGCGTCTGTCTTAAAATCTTATCTTTTTAGCCACATAAATACATGTTCTGTTCACCGGACAAATGCAAGTATCTTACATGTTAGTATTAGTTTCATCTATTTCAGAATGGTCGTTTTTCTCTATACAAGCTTGACGAGACTTACACATTTTCAACCGTTGACTACCTCCTTTCGTACTACAGTATGAATGATTTACCTTCTACAGAATATAAAGTGAAGCTTCAGTATGGATATAATTATAGTAGTAGATTATCTTAGTGATTTTTAAATGACATAAATAACCTTTCGGACAATAAGTAATAAGTTTATGCAACGCCGAGGAATCATTTTTATGTATAATATTATACTATATACTTCATATGAACACAATATGTGAAGTTCTATTGGACCAACTATTTTGCATTCACAATTTGTTTTGCATGATGCCAACTGGAACAATCATTCGGAAAAAGAGTACATTTGTACATCATGCCGCATGAATTATTGTATATTAAATATCAGTCAATTACATATACATTACAAATCTATATTCTTCCAATGAATGTCACGAATGCTCAATTTTTACAGAAAACGTTACCATGTTAGGGTATCTATGTTTTTATTTGGTACTTGAAGTATTTTGTTTTTTATGCTCTTCGAAGGGTGAGCTTTTGGTCGCCGCTTCGTCCGTCCGTCCGCTTTTCCATTCCGGGACATAACTCTGAAACAACAAGAGGTATCAATATGAAACTTTGTAGGTAGATAAATCTCATTTGGTAGATGTGAAGTGCACAAGAATCGTACCTCTGTTTTGCCTAATGTTGGAGTTATTCCCTTTGTTCATTTTTACACTTTGAACTTTGTCCGGGACATAACTCTAAAACTATAAGAGATATGAACATGAAACTTTGTAGCAATTGGATCTCATTGGGTAAAAGAGCAGTGTAAAAGAACGATAGCTCTGCCTTGCGTAATTTTGGAGTTTCTTTTCTTTGTTCATTTATTCACTTTGAACTTTGTCCAGGACATAGCTCTGAATGTAGAGAAGAGATGAACAAGACACTTTCTGGGTAAATAAACCTCATTTGTTAGATGTGCAGTACAAAGAAATCATAACTCTGCCTAACCTAATTTTGGATTTGTTGCCATTTGTTCATTTTTACACTTTGAACTTTGTCCGGGCCATAACTCAATCACTATGAGAGAAATGAACAAGAAACTTTGTAGGTACGTAGATCTCATTGGGTAGATGAGCAGTGAAAAAGAATCGTGACTTTGCCTTGCCTAATTTTGGAGTCACTGACCTTCGTTAATTTTTTCACTCGGTCTTGTAGTTTTGATGCCATAAAATTAATCAATTCTTACGCATCAAAACTCCAAACCAGTGTTAAATAGCCGATATACACCCCTCAGGCCGATATTGATTCTTAATTGATTTATTTTAGTTTTATGTAATGGCAAAAATGTGCAACATTCAAGGTTCCATGATAACCGCTGTATGAACGTATCTGTTTCTAAATTAAAAAAAATACCATAATATGTTAAATGTTCAATTCCGCTTAAACCGGTGTAAGGGAGCATTGACGGTAACTTGAACTTTCCAGTACCGTTCATAAAGAGGCTCAATCAAACCGAGTCTGACACAGTTTTAATTATGCCGTTATCATTTGTATTAATAGAAGGTGCCGGGCAATGAATTATCCATGACGAAAAAACTTTCTTATGTCATATTTAAAATGCATCATTTGAAACTTGTGAAATGTTAAGTGTAACTTTTATAATGTTGTATATATTTGCTAGATGTTTTGTAACGATACATGATATTAAGTAAATAGTATAAGAACTATTTATTATTTAGATTGTGATAATTTTGTTGCATTATTTGCTTTGAATATGCCGTATTTTGTATATGCTTTTTGTATATAAAATAAATGATAATGGCAATTATATTTTTCCTTTTATGCATGTTTGTATTTGCATTTGTACAATCATATTAAAATCATCAAGCTAATTCGTTGAATTGATATCCATGGTCGCATGATTAAAGTACCTTTATGTTGCTTCTTAATGTTATGTTTTTCAGAACATAAATATTATGGTACAAAAACCACAAAAATGAGCAGTGTGAATCAAAATGACATATCCTATAAAAGCATAATTACATTCAGAAATTAAATTATCATTACTCATATGGTTCTTCATTTAAAGTATATTAATACAATAACAATTTCATAATAAAAGAATTTCAATATCGGGATTCAAATGTTATTTCTCAAAATATTAAATTCATTTTATCTCAATAGATAAAAGAATAATACTTATACATGTTATAAAAACTCTTAAAAGAGAGTCGTGGTTCTTGGACAATGTTTTTTTCTTCTTAATGATATCTATCGATGTATGAGGTTTCAATATGATATCTCTAATACTTATTCACGCTGATTTGAGAAAAAAATCAGTCTGAAATGGGCAATACCTCCTTACTCATAAAAAGCGCGTTTCTCATACATAAGCTGAATAGGGCTACGAAATTTCAAATTGATAAACTATTTGATATAATAATGATTATATAATTGATATTGAGTGTTTCTGTAAATATAAAATAAACATGTATCGGCTTCACTTAAAGTAGATATGTTATGTTTATATAGTGTAATTAAAAAGAAGAAAAAAAACAAAAACAACTTAAATTGACCTGCAATAGAAAACACAGCTTCCCATATACAGTTTATTCATTCTTTTTATTCAAATTAGACATATTCAATTATTTCAATATTTTTGGCTATTAAAATATTTTGCTCAAGGATGAGCAAAGCATGTCTTTATGAGAAAATAAAAAGGGCAATAACTAAAAAGATTATGCAAACGAAAGTAAGGGCCAAAAACACTGCGCTTTCTTTATATGCGATCTATCAATCTATAAAGTTTCAAGAAAGTAAATATACATTTGTAAATATGCCCATAACACAATAAAAGTGTTGTACTTGCGGAACGCTCAGTAAAAGCTAGGGTCATTTGAAAAACAGACAAGGATTTAATGTACCATTTTAGTTTATGCTTTTGAGTGGATTACTGATTTATTTGTGAAAATTACATTTCTTAATTTCACATTAAAAATTGTCATAATATAATTTCACACTTTTCAAACAGACTACTTTTTTATAGATTTTTCCCATGCGGTACCTCACTTTCATTTATGTTTATAATTCCGACATATCGTTCAGCACGATATTATTGATGTGCATGTGGTATTTTAGTTTTATATTCGGCTATTTACTTGTTCGGTGGTTCCAGTATTCCTCACTTGAATACTGTTGAATCACCATTATGATATGTGGCCTGCTTTTTAAATTTGTCTTTTGACGTAATATATATGATATGCAGGCTACATAACGTCTGACTCTTTCAAAATTCCGTTTTAGTTAGTTCCGCTTATTGATTTCTCATTTAGGGCACATGAATGTTTTTACTTGGGGACCATACGCCGCTTTTCATGGAGTGGCACTAACGTGTCACGTTGAAGGTTCCATGATAACCGCAATATGAAACACATCTGCGGATGTTTCAAAATTCCAATTTTTTCCAGATAATCTTAAATGTTGAATTCTGCATGAACAGAATCAATCAAACCGAGCCTGCAACATTTTCAATTTTGCCGTGTTGGGCTTTCTTTGGGGATTCTTTATTTCTCTTTACTGTTTAGAGCAATGTAAAGCTGAAAGAGATGAATAACTTCTAACTCAAACGTAATCAAAAAGATATAACTTCATTCAATTTAACGATTACCAAATTCACCTCTACTTATTCGTCTATACGTTCTGATTTCGTTCATAAAGTCTTAAAATAACTCTTCCTTCATCATACGAAACTGATCTTGATGCCATGTGGACATTTAAATAGTCTACGAGCAATAAATGAAAAAATTGTGTAAAAGCAATGACAGTCATCTGTCCGCAGGATAATGTTAATACCCAGCGATCGTAACACAGGTTTTCATTTTTTTCAAATCCCTTGATGTTTCTTGAATGAATACGCATATGCACGCCTCCAGATGATCCAAAATATTTCAAGAAAATCAACATTGAGAAAAATGTACTAAAATTTTAAGAAAAGTAAAAACATCCAAGATCCAAATGATATTTTACGTTATATGCGGTTTAAGACTGCTTTTGCAGTATCTTATCACCATACCTCTACTGCGTTACTAACGCAGTAAGGGCTGTTTTGGATTGTAAGTGCTGATTGCAATATGTAAAATGTTTATTTATTTTACTTTTAAAATCATTTTCAAACTTTTCATGAAAATTAACATAAATCTGGAGGCGTGCGGTTTTAAATATTGTCTGTAACAATCAACTAGTAAGTATTCTTTCTAAAGATAGATGTAAATTTTATCAAATCCAAATGAAATCCTTTCGATTCCAGCACATTTTGTTCTTTCTTCGTTTGAAATAAACTACTTTTAAAAATGGCGGTCGAAGGATTTGGACCAAAATGTCTTTCCACTTTATTGGTGTATAAAACAGAATAAAGCTTGTCATGGTGTATTTTTTCCATTTTTTTAAATGTTTGTTTTAATGGTTTAAACAAACATCATTTTTTTCTTTTTATAATAAATTAAAAAAAAATATCATTGCCATTAAACATTGATTGTCCAGCTTAATTTTCTGCTGGCGACTTTTTGAAATTTATGAGAAATTCGTCTGAAATTGAGGCTTCTTGTGTGGAAAACAGATTTAAATATTCAAGCCAATATCGAGGAAACTTGATATAAGCTAAAAATAAAAATAAAATTACGACACTCGTGTGAATACTGTTTTCAAAGCTCACTCGATGAAATTGAATTTCATCTTACACATAAACAAATATATATCTTCTATTTTATTATATTTTATTATAGAGGTATATTAATTAACACAAGTAACTACTCATTATCAAAAGCCGCAAAAGAGGACAACCAAAATGTATGAAACCAATATAAGAAACAGTTTTTTGCTCACTTAAATAATCTAAATTGTTAGAAACAAACGTTAATACATGTATGTATAAGTATAACAGTTACAATATCGTATATTTGATCAAACTTATCATTCAAATATATAGAGTAAACATAGGGTGTATATGGGTAGAATGATTTACCATATTTGTTCTCCTTTGGAAAAATACGTTCATTTTTTACAAAAATTCTTTACAATACGCAAATGACTCTAGCATTAAAATGGAATTTGATAATTGGTTAAAATTTGGTATCATTTGTATCTGCCCATCTCTAAAATCAATCTTAGCTCGGGTATATTGTCTAAAGATTTTTAACATTAATGGAGACATAATGCAAGTGTCGATTTCTTCTTTAAATATCAGAATAATTGGTTTGTGTAATTCGTATGTTTCTCGAAGTTCCATTTCACACCATTGACTCTGGCAAAAATTGGTTGTCACAAAGAAAAGTCCAACACAGCTTTCTGAAATACATTTCATTATTTCATCAACGATTGGAATTCCGAGATTAAAATCTTCATTGCCAACACAAAGAAGTTCTTTGTTAGTCTGAATAAATTCCTGTAAAGACTCTTTTATTAAAGCACAAACTTGCTTGATATCTGCTTCATTATCTTCGCTAGAATAAGATACAAAACACAAATATTTTTCCGGAACATAACCTAGTTTGAAATCATCAATAAATGTTTTCCTTCGTCTCCCTTTTTTCTTCTTTCGCTTTCTGTAGTACATAAAACCAGTCCCAATGGAAACAAAAGTTATTAAGAATACCACTGTTGAAACTGATGTGATGATTATTTTTGAACGGATACAAGAAAATTCCGTCTCTTTGATCCCAGCCCCATTGATGACAACATCATCTTTCTCATTCAAAGAACAAGTCATACTTTGATTGAAAGTATTTGTCATGTAAACTAGTAACCATTTAATAAAACTTGATGATTTACAATTACAAATGAACGGATTATTCTCAAGATATATTTTTCGATGCGTTGAGAAATCTGTTACAAATGCCTTTAATGAGTTCAATTCACCACCATCAATATAATATATGTCATTGTTTCTCAAGTCCAAAAACTGCAATTTCATCATTTTTTTTAAATCGAAACTGATAGAAGGTAATTTGTTATATGACAAATTAAACATAATTAAGTTGGTGTTGTAGGACAAAAACGCGAAAGGAAGAAATCTTAGACGGTTTCTAGAAAGAACCAATCGTTGTATAATTGTATGGTTAATAAACAAATCACTGAACTCTAAAGAAAATTGCATATGGTGCAATTTGTTGTTTGAGAGATTTAATACTTTAAGTGATGTTACAGAATTTAAAAGCCAGGGAGATAAATATTCAATGTCATTTGAAGACATGTCAATAGCAGATAGAGACATATCCTCGGGCCACAGGATTGATACATTTAAATAATGTAAGTGATTTGACCTTAAATGTAATGACCGCAAATCGACATTGCATTGTGATAAGTCAATAAACGAATTGTTCGCACTCAATTGTTTTGGCAGTACACTGTTCAGCATAAGATTTTCTACCCTCAATAGAAATTTTAAGAAACCGTTCGTGTCGGTACACTTATTGTCATAAATGTAATTATTTAGGAAATCATAATCTACACTCATAAATCTCATCTGTAGTAGGGACAAATCTAAAACCTTAATTTTCGGCAATAACATGTCTAGGACAGTGTCATTGATTAACATATTAACCTGTTTAACAAGTGACGTATTTGAAATATCTATATCATATAAAACCATGGACATATTACTAACATACAACGGACCCGTGAATAATAAATTGCATCCACTCAAGCTAAGCTTGTGTATTTTCTTTTCATGAACTGCTTTTATAAATGCATTATCAATTTTGAAAAACCGGTCACCAGATGAGGCAAATTGATCAAGAAGCAGAGTATCCAGGTGACTAATTGGGGAGAGTAATTTTAGAATAGCTGATTCATCGAGATAATGACATAACGATAAGTTTAATGTGTGTAACATTGATAGTCCTTCAAAAACCTTTGCCTCGTTATGGAACTGGTAAAATGGAGAGTGTACACCAAGATGTCTTAAACTCTTTAGTGAGAAAATATTATAGTCATAAAGACGGAACCATACTATGTGGTTAACTGTTATATCTAGTAAATCTACATAAGACCAACTGTCATGTGCAAACGTTGTATTATCGATAGTATTATTTAAGTAGTCCCTGATCACAATGCCTGATATTTTACTAGGTACGACGAATGGTATTCTACTTTCACATACGACATTTGAATTCTCAAGTAAACAGTCATCGTTCTTTTCCATCCTAATCAATCCTGGAGTTTCAAGTAGCATAAGAGCTAGCAGAATAAAGTGAATATATACGCAGCCCCTTTGTTTCATTGTTTCTGAAAATAAATGACTATGAGTTAAATTTTGTATGACGTAAGGTACGGACATTTTTATAGTGCTATGATTATTTTTTTCTTTCATCATGTTAGTCTAGTTTGTTAATCCTGAAGGAAGCTACAAATGAGCCGCGTCACGACAAAAAACCAACGTAATGGGTTTGCGACCAGCATGAATCTAGACCAGCCTGCGCATCCAAGTAGTCTGATTTGGATCCATGTTGTTCGCTATCAGTTTCTCTATTTGCAATAGGGTTGGTAAGCGAACATCATGGATCCTGATCAGACGGCTGGTCTGAATCCATGCTGGTCGCAAACCCATTACGTTGGTTTTGCCGCGGCTCAAATGTACTTCGATATCCAGATTTGTCTGATTTCCATAACAGTTATTTAGTTAAAAAAAACCATATAAAACGGAATTGTTTCAATAATTTCTTCGGCTGGACGGTTGTTCTTATAAATCATCATTAAATTATTATCACGGTGTTTTATTGTACTTATTGTCGTTTCAACAATCAATATAGAAATTCTATTTTTTAATTTTCTGTTTAAACATGTAAAAGAGACGAATACGCTAAGAGAATCAAGTATTATACAAATAAATATAAACGAATAAACTATGGTAAGATTAAATAATTCTAATGCATTCATCAAAAGGCGTAATTTAGGTTTTATTATCTCAAAGGAAACAAAACATATACAAATTTACAAAATTATTTAATACATAAGTAAATCGTCATAGATTGCATTTACTTACATGGAATTTTAACGTGGTTCTCGTCTTTTAATAATTTATAGATTTTTTGCCATTTATGTTTGTTTACAAAATATTCACATGGTGTTTGATACAATATCAATGGACACATACTACCTTGAATGAAAATACGCGATCAAACGAAAAATGAAACATTTATGTTGCAAATAGCTTTATATTCGTCAAATAACATATAACTTATCATATATTATCTAATTTAAAAAGACGTAGTGAATATGCTGCAGACTGTTATAAATTTATTGAGACAAATAATTATAGTAATTAAAACACTATGATTTCAAAATCTAAACGTACCCTTAACAGCTACACTCCGTATATTCTGTATCTAAAAGCACGTGAGAAATTAATGAAACGAAGTAATCGCCCATTTATTGAAAACTTCCTTGATCATTATACGGGTAATGAATTACAAAATTATCTTTTGATAGTAAAAACATGCCCGGATAATATAATAATCAAATGTATAAAGACTGATGTGATACAGTGTGTAGGTCATATAGCTTTTTGAGGTGTGCACAGGACAATTGCACCCATAGACACTTTACACGTGGCACGAGACAATTCCACCACAATGTGCAAAATGACAATTAAAGATGTTAAAACAAATAAGCCGCGTCACGACAAAACCAACATAATTGGTTTGCGATCAGCATGGATCCAGACCAGCCTGCCCATCCGCACAATCTGATCAGGAATCATGCTGTTCGCTATCAGTTTCTCTACTTGTAATAGAGTTGGTTAGCGAACAGCATGGATCCTGATAAGACTGCGCAGGCTGGTCTGGATCCATGCTGGTCGCAAACCATTATGTTTGTTTTTGTCGTGACGCGGCTCAAACAAATATAAAATATTTGTGTTTCACATCGTGGCAAAATGAATAAAATCTGATTAAATATCTACATAACGCTATATAAAAATCATGTTTTAGAAATATCAAGTTTATAAATATCAAGTGATACATGAAATATAATTAAATTTTTAAGTAATGTTAAGATTAGATAAAACTCACATTACGAAATTTCGTCCACTTAAATGTGTGACGAAACGTTCTTTTTTTCTCTATGCGTTCCAGGGAAAATAAGGAAAGCATTTTTATAACTATTGAAAAGATATATAGCGTAATCTATCGAAGCGCGCGCTTAACTTGCTGAAAGTACGTAAATTAGATGATGTCCATGAAGATAGCCAGACAGCCGGAACAGCTGGAGCAGCCGGAACACTTTTTTGTCTAGTTCGGCTACTACCAGAGGTGATAAAATAAAAGATATTCAAAAGATCATTGGTTTATTATATCATTTAGTATCAAATTAATTATCATCTCGATTTCCATATTCAGGCTAGCCAGAATTACCGAAATTAAGACTACTTATGATGAAAACAATCTCCGACGACATTAAGAATATGTGTGTCTTAAATGGCGTGTACGCAGGTACATTCTTTGGTATTTTGCCAACTTTGAGCCGAAAAGCGTACTATAAATGGTCGTATCTCGCCATTTCTGGCCGGCCCCTATAAGCACTAGCCTCAATTCTACTGAATCCAATATAATAGGATAGTTAGAAGATCTGAACCTGTGTCCGCTAGATATCACAGTCGGGAATACTCTCGTAGTTTACCGACGTTGAGCCTACAAATCGAACTATAAATGGTCACTTCAGCTCATTTCTTGTCATTTCCGGCTTGCCCCCTTTAAGTCCAAGCCTCTATTCCATAGAACCCCACAAGTTGATTGATTAGGGGGTTTAACCCGGTATCAGCTGGAATAGGAAAGAGAATAAATCAAACAAATAACCTTTTGAGGCAAAGTTTAATACTAGACTTCTATACACCTTCACTCAATACTACACTCAAATAAAGGAAAATGTATACATGTATTATAATTTCAAAACGAGGTTTCATATTATGGATGACGATAGATTTCTGAACTTCCTGGATTGGAAAAGTGACTCATGGGTTACATTAATTATTCATTGCAAAACTTACATAAAAAGGGAAAGATTTTTCGGTCAATGCTTATAAATAACTGATCATAAAGAATCTTATTCATTGAATATACTTAGCTAATTTACAATTATCTACGCTCACCGATAAACCTTCTGAACACTAATCGGAATGAGCAATGAATATATAAAGTAAATATATATTAAGCAAAATATATACACAAAAGTTATCACAACACAAGGAAGTGTAGATACGAAACAGTGTCTGGCCTGGCCCAATCAAACTAAACCCTTAACAATTTCAATTTTTCCGTATTGGTTTCTCTTTGAATTGAATTTAATGTCTTAAAGCAACAACAACAAAACATCAAGGCTAGTTCGAATATTTTATCAATTTTGAATTTAACAAAATAATAATCAGAATAAAAACATTTGTCAATTGTACAACTAATCAAAACACTTAGCCTGTTTCATGAGATTTAAAACAATTGACGTGAGTCAGATCGTCTTTGAATATAATCTGACATAGTTATTTCTTTAATTGTATTTAGTTATGTTATATAAAGTACAAATGGCACGAAACAAGACTTGGTCAATAGTTCATATGAATACATCACTTGTGCTTACTTATAATATTGATATCTAGTTGCGATTTATGCCGGCTCGCCACGGCGAGCCAGTATTACGTTAGGATTTTACTGAAAAACAACCTAAAACTCCGAATCCATCCAAAAATTTTATGGAAGCTTGGCTTCCAGCTTTCTACAAAATTTATCTATCAAGGCTAGGATCCAAATTTATTTAGCCAATCAAATTTAATCTTACATAGCGTCAAAAAACCTTCAATTTCCACGCCATTTTTAAAAAGCAGCAAGTATTATTTTGAGCGCAAAGATATAATGATGATTAAAATGTTTGTTTTCATGAATTCTTTTCAATAAATCATATTTACACTGACTTTTGATTTAGCGACCTCACCTGTTCCTCTGTAGTAAGTTTTCGTTTGGTTAATTAACATAAGTGTACATCTGGTTCTGTGCATTTTTTCTTTTTCCTTTTTTTTCCGGTCATTTTATCCTTTCCGGTTTTTAGTGTATATATTTACTGGCCGGGATCCGGGACGGTATCCCTATATGTTTTAATAGGATCCCGGCTTATCTGAAAAACATCTTAGATTGGTCAATTTCCGGGATCATTATATTTTTAATAGGATCCCGGCTTTTCTGGCTGAATTGATTGACAACTTGTGTTTACTTTAGGACTTGTGTCTGTCACTCATTCCAATACTAAATAACATATTACAACTTAACTTCGTAAAAAGAGACATCTTTATGAATTCTACCTATCTAATATTTATTTGGTCAAGGTCAACAGGCCATACAGTAAATGTGCATAGACATATATATATATATATATATATAGGGATTTCATTCTATTTGTTTACATGCATCTTCATATATACTCATATTCCTCTTTGTTAAACTGAGAGAACTGGCTTCCATAACTTTATGTCACTTTTATTTTGATGTTCGCTGAAGTCTTTTCAGTTAACATTAACAGAACTGTCATTTTTACATTTAAGCGCACCCCTGGAAAAAAATTACGAAGCGAGTCGCTACTAGCTTTTTTAAAAGCTAACCTTGTGTATAAGTATAAAGCAATATTTTCGTCTACTTAAATGTAAAAAAAACAGTATTTCCGATGAAAATTGACAGTCATTATAAAAAAAAGATTTTTCTATTCACAAGTTATTTTTATAAGGAATTTATTAAATGATTCATATTCATATATTCCCCCGCTTATTCCGCCAGTTTTATTTCCTTCATGGTGATGTTTGGTAAACTTTAATAACAAATACGAATTGTTCATCCAAGACGAATGAAAGTATTTTCACATCCTGGTCAAAAACATATTTTGTTAGTCCTTCAATTTTAAATGTAATGATGAATTTCATTTTAATTTTTCATATAATCCTTGTATATGATAATGAAAACTTGATATTAATATTTTTTCTCTGCTTCTCATAACTCAAGATTACATTATAAATTTCTTCCAGGTATCCTAAAATGCATCTATATGTTTATAACAACTGATCTCAGATTAAGCTGCGCAACGATTGATCTTACACTAAGCTGCGCAAGGCTGTTTTTATTTTATTTTCTTGTACAGTACCCACATCATTAAAGTTAGAACTTTATGTTTAAGAACGGTCAGTTAATTTTATTGTTTAATCCGCCTATAACCCAAAGGAATTGAAAAATACTGTATCTTTTAGTTTTACATGCCACTTCATTCCCGCTAAAATGTGTAAATTAACTTATTATATTATTAATAAAAAGTTCATGTTCTTGGATGATCACTTTATTCAAAAATAAACACTGCTTGTCAGATATATTTGATAAATTGTTCAGACTGAAATTATGTTAACAAAGATTAACAAAAAAAGAGCGGTCTTCAATGAAGACATATGTTCAATCCTTTTGCTATGGGTGATTGTCTGTAATAGCCGTTTTTAATGTTTGACAACGTCAAAGTATGTTACAATGAAATTACTTTTAGTGGCTACACATGTGACAAACGTTACAATCAAGTGAAATTATACTAAAACGAAGTCTTATTTACTTCACTGTTTCCACTATATCGCAAAGATGCCAGTTTTAGAATAGAATTCGATAATTCTTTAATGTCTGGTATCATTTGTATGTCACCATGCTCTGTAACAACCAGTTTACCTCTCGTAAACTGTTGGAAGATTTTTAACATTAATGGAGACATAATCCTTGTGTCAATTTCTTCTTTGAAAATAAGTATAATAGGTTTGTTTAACTCGTAGGTTTCTCGAAGTTCCATTTCACACCACTGGCTTTGACAAAAATTCGTAGTAACAAAAAAAAGTCCAACACAACTTTCATTAATGCACCGCATTATTTCATCAACGATTGGAAATCCAAGGTTAACATGTTCATCGATCACACAAAGAACTTCTTTACTTGTCTGAATCAATTCTTGCAATGATTCTTTTGTCCGAGCTGTAACCTGTCGAATGTCTGCTTTATAATCTTCGCTAGAATAAGAAACAAAACACAAATACTTTTCCGGGATATTACCAAGTTTGAAATGTTTTATAAAATATCCCTTTTTTCTGATCCTTTCCTGTTTCCTCCTCCTGTATATCATGAAGCACATTGCTAAGGAAACCAAAGATGTTATAGATACGATTGATAAAACTGAACCAATAATTACCTTTGAACGAATGCAAGAAAACTCCGCCTCTTTTAATAACAGCGTCATCAATAGTGACGTCATCTTTATCATTAAAAGAACATGTCAAAATTTGAGTATTAGTATTTGTCGTGTAAACGAGTAACCATTTAATAAAACTTGATGTTTTACAATTACAAATGAACGGATTATTCTCAAGATATATTGTTCGATGCGTAGAGAAATCTGATACAAATGCCTTTAATGAGTTCAATTCACCGCCATCAATATAATATATGTCATTGTTTCTCAAGTTCAAAAACTGCAATTTCATCAAATGATTTAATTCGAAACTGATAGAAGGTAATTTGTTATATGACAAATCTAACATAACTAAGTTGGTGTTGTAGGTTAAAAACGCGAAAGGTAGAAATCTTAGACGGTTTCTAGAAAGAACCAATCGTCGTAAAATTGTATGGTTAATAAGCAAATGACTGAACTCTAAAGAAAATTGCATATGGTGCAATTTGTTGTTAGAAAGATTTAATACTTCAAGTGATGTAAGAGAATTTAAAAGCGAGGGAGATAAATATTCAATGTCATTTGAAGACATGTCAATAGCAGATAAAGACATATCCTCGGGCCATAGGATTGATGCATTTAGATAATTTAAGTGATTTGACCTTAAATGTAATGACCGCAAATTGACATTGCATTGTGATAAATCAATAAATGAATTGTTCGCTCTCAATGGCTTGGCTAGTACACTGTTCAGCATAAGATTTTCTACCCTCAATAGCAATTTTATTACACTGTTCGTGTCGGTACACTTATTGTCATAACTGTAATTATTTTGGAAATCATAATCTACACTCATAAATCTTATCTGTAGTAGAGACAAATCTAAAACCTTAATTTTCGGCAATAACATGTCTAGGGCAGTGTCATCGATTAACATATTAACCTGTTTAACAAACGACGTATTTGACATATCTATATCATATAAAGCCAAGGACATATTATTAACATGCAACGGACCCTTAATTAATAAATTGCATCCACTCAAGCTAAGCTTGTGTATTTTCTTTTCATGGACTTTTTTTATAAATGCATTATCAATTTTGAAAAACCGAACACCAGATGTGGCAAATTGATCTAGAAGCATAGTATCCAGGTGATTAATTGGGGAGAGTAATTTTAGAATAGCTGATGCATCGAGATAATGACATAACGATAAGTTTAATGTGTGTAACATTGATAGTCCATCAAAAACCTTTGCCACGTTGTTGAACTTGTAAGATGGAGCGTGTATCCCAAGACTTCTTAAACTCTTTAGTGAGAAAAAATTATAGTCATACAGACGGAACCGTACTCTGTGGGTAACTGTTATATCTAGGAAATCTACATAAGACCAACTGTCATGTGCAAACGTTTTATTATCGATAGTTTCATTTAAGAAGTCCCTGATAACAATGCCTGATATTTTACTAGGTACGACGAAAGGTATTCCATTTTCACATACGACATTTGAATTCTCCAGTAAACAGTCATCGTTCTTTTCAATCCCATTCACTCCTTGAGTTTCAAGTAGCATAAGGGCTAGCAAAATAAAGTGAATATATACGCAGTCCCTTTGTTTCATTTTTTCTGAAAATAAATGACTATGAGTTAAATATTGTATGACGTAAGGAACGGACTTTTTATAGTCCTATGATTATTGAATTAATTTTTGCTTTCATCATGTTAGTCTAGTTTGATAATCCTAAATGGAAAGTACTTCGCTATCCAGATTTGTCTGATTTCCATAACAGTGATTTAGTTTAAAAACAAAATAAAACGGAATTGTTTCAATATTTTCTTCGGCTGGACGGTTGTCCTTATTCATCCAAATAAAATTATTACAATGGTGTATAATTTTACATGTCAAATTTGTATATTTGTTGTCTATTCAACAATCAATTTAGAAATTCTATTTTTCAATTTCCTATTTAAACATGTTAAATAGCCGAATTCTCTAAGAGAATCCAGTATTTTACAACTAAATATAAATGAATCAACACTGATAAGATTAAATAATTCTTAAGCAAAGTATTCATCAAAAAGCGTAATTAAGGACAAAGAAAACAAGACATATAAAAATTTACAAAATTATTTAATACATAAGTAAATCCTCCTAGATTGCAATTACTTACATGGAATTTTAACGCGGTTTTAGTACTTTCCGAAATTTATAGATTTGTTAGCAATTTATATGTGTGCACTAAATATTCACATGGCGTTAAATACAACATCAATGGACACATGCTACATTAAATGAAAATACGCGATCAAACGAAAAATGAAATATTTATGTGGCAAAAACTTTATATTTGTCATATAACTTATCAAATATTGTCTAATGTAAAAAAAGGGAAGTGAACATGCTACAGACTGTTTTAAATTTATTGCTACAAATAATCAAAGTAATAAAAAACTATGATTTCAAAGTTTATACATACCCCTTAAAAGCTACAATTCGTTCATTCTATATCCAACAACACGTGAGGAATTAATGAAACGAAATAATCGGCCATTTAGTTAAAACTTCCTTGATCATTATCCGGGTGATGAATTACAAAATTCTCTTTTATTAGTAAAACATACCCGGATAATACAAGAATCAAATGTATAAAGACTGATGTGATACAGTGTTTACGCCATATAATATACATGTATAGAGTAATCTACTGAATCGATCGCTATAACTTGCTGAAATTATGTAACTTATTTAATGTCCATGTCATCCAATTAGCCAGACAGCCGGAACAGCTGGAGCAGCCGGAACACATTTTTGTCTAGGCTAGCCAGAGGTGATGAAATAAAAGATATTCAAAGATCATTGGTTTATTATATCATTTAGTATCAAATTAATTATCACCTCGATCTCTGCCTATTCAAGCTAGCCAGAATTACCGAAATTACGACTACTTATGATGAAAACAATTTCCGACGACATATTAAGAATATGTGTGTCTTCAAAAGTGTGAAGTCAGGTATATGTGTGTCCGTCGGAAATTCTCTGTTATTTTGCCCACTTTGAGCCGAAAAGCGTAACTATAACTGATCATTTCAGCGCATATCTCGCCATTTCCGGCTGGCCCCTATGAGCACTAGCCTCAATTCCACTGAATCCAATATTATTGTCTGTGTCTGCTGGTATGAATATATCCGTCGGGATAAACTCGTATTTTACCAACGTTGAGCCCACAAATCGAACTATAAATGGTCACCTCAGCTCATTTCTTGTCATTTTCGGCTTGTCCCCTGTAAGCCTAAGCCTAAATTCCATAGAACCCCACAGGTTGATTGATTAGGCGTTTAAACCGGTATCAGCTGGAATAGGTGTGAAATTAAGGAAAGAGAATAAATCAAACAAATGACCCTTTGATGCAAATTTTAATACTAGACTTCACTCAATCCTACACTCAAATAAAGAAAAATGTATACATGTATTATAATTTCAAAACGAGGTTTCATATTATGGTTGACGAGAGATTTCTGAACTTCCTGGATTGGAAAAGTGACTCATGGATTACATTAATTATTCATTGCAAAATTCACCTAAAAAGCGAAAGATTTTTCGTTCAATGCTTATAAATAACTTATCATAAAGAATCTAATTTTTTTAATATACTAAGCTAACTCAATAGTTTACAAGAATCTACGCTCACCAATAAACCCTCTGAACACTATTCGTTATGAGCAATGAATATCTAAATTAAATATATATTTCGCAAAATATATACACAAAAGCTATCACAACACAAGGAAGTGTAGACACGCAATAGTGTTTGACCTGGCACAATCAAACTAAACCCGTAACAATTTTATTTTTTCCGTATTGGTTTCACTTTGATTTGATTTTAAGGTCTTAAAACAACAATAACAAAACATAAATGCTGGTTCGAATATTCTATGATTCTTTTTAACAAAATTTTAATCGGAATAAAAAAATTATTTGTCAATGTACAACTAATCAAAATACTGAGCCTGTTTGCAATATTCTAAGAATTTTGATTTTAACAAAATTATAATCAGAATAAAAACATTTGTCAATAATTCTTTGTACAACTAATCAAAACACTAAGCCTGTTTCACGTGATTTAAAACAATTAACCTGAGTCAGAGCGTCTTTGAATATAATCTAAAATAGTTCTTTCTTTTGTTTTATTTAGTTATGAGATATGAAGTACAAATGGCACGAAACAAGACATTGTCAATTGTTAATATGAATACATCACTTGTGCTTACTTATATATTGATATCTAGTTGTGATTTATGTATAAGTATAAAACAGTATTTTGGTATGCTGAACTGCGTGTATCTAGAAAATTAGAAGTTTATAAAGAATTAAAACTGATTTTGGTTATGAAAAATATCTTAGTATTATAACAAATGATAAACAATAGAAAATCCCTTTCAAGATTTAGATTTTTGGCTCATAGATTAGCTATAGAGGAAGGTCGCTTCAGAAATATAGATAGAAACAATATATTATGTTATATGAAAGTGGTTGAAAATGAGTATCATCTGTTATTGATATGTCCATATTATTCTGATTTAAGAGCAGTTTATTTACCAAGATACTTTTATACTTGGCCAAATATAAACAAATTTAAAAGTATAATGACTGCTTCTTCTAAAAACGTTATATATGATAAAATTAGATAAATTATATATTCACTTATCATTTGATAAAAAGAAATACTGTCTAGTTTTCTGTTAATATTTTTTTATTATTTACAAACAATATTAATCTGAAAATCAATATTGTTTTTTTTTTTTTTTTTTTTTTGTGTTCACTGTTATTTGCCTGTAATTATATAGCTATGTTAAATCCATCAACATACTTTTCTGTACTTGAATATTATGTATGTTTTGTACATGTATTTATTACAAAATTTGTATTTGTATATGCAATGTTTTATGTTAAATTATAAACTGCCATTCATATAACTTGGCGATGAACGTGTAAAATGTTTATGCCAATAAACTATTTGACTTGACTTTGACTTTTGTCTGTTTAAATGTGTTTCCGATGAAAATTAACATTCATTATAAAAAAAAAGATTTTTCTATACACATATTTAATTTATTTTTATGAGTAATTTATGAAATGATTCTAAAACAAAAGCTATGATTTTTTAACGTGGCAGACATACGACATTTGATTTTTACATTGACAACACTCTAATTGAAATAGTTCCCTCTTTTAAATATCTAGGAATAACTTTGTTTAAAAATGGTAACTGGTTTCGCAACCAAAAAAGTGTTTCGCAACATGCTTCATTTTCTTTATTTAATTTATTTAAAATACTTCATTACGCCGAATTTTCAATGTCCCAAAAGCTTTCGTTATTTGATACTCTTGGTGGTTCAGTTCTTAACTTTGGTTCACAAATATGGGGCAGTCATAAAGCACCAGATATAGGAGCTGTACATACAAAATTTTTAAGACGGGTTCGTTCTTTGTGTCAAAAAGCCAACCAATTTATGTGACTATATGGTGAAACTTGACGATTACCGATGGAATGTAATAGAAAAATAAATATGCTTAAGTATTGGGTTCACATATTAAAACAAGATCAAATTCGCTTATTAAACAAACATTTCTCATGCTGAAAAATCATACAGATAATAGAAATAATTTCTCTCAAAATTGGGCAACTCAAATCAAAATGATATAAGATAGTCACGGTTTCAGTTAAATTACGCATTGTCAGTTTGATATAGATATTCCGTTTGAAGAGATTAAGTTAAGAGTTATTGATACTTACAAACAAAATTGATATTGTGAAATAAATAATTCGAGTCGCTTACATTTTTATTCAATACATAAACACGATTTTATGTTGCAGAAATATTTTTCAGATGTTTGTGAACAAAAATTTAGAGTAGCTTTAACTAAATACAGAATATCACCACATAATTTGCATATTGAAACTGGAAGACATGACGACACACCCAGGCAAAGTCGACTATGTACCTTTTGCAATTCTAATCAAATTGAGGACGAATATCATTTCTTGTTGGTCTACCCTTACTATATAGATATAAGAATAAAATATTTGCCAAGTTATTATTGGCATTGGTCAACAATCACAATGTTTGAAAGTATCTTATCATATAATTCTAGAAAAATGACTCAAAATTCATCAATATGTTTAAACTTTGCCTTTAAAAGAGGAGATAATTAACATTTTTTCTCTTAATTTATGTAGAAATCTTTATGTTTTTCATCACACAAAAAAAAATCAAATCAAGATTTATATTTTTGTCATATAACAAATTTCTCTCCGCTAACACAGATTTCATAACATTTTGTTTTGCATATTGTTGCTAATACCTACGATACCTGTCTATTATTATGCTAGAAACGTTGTTATAATGTTTAAAGCAAATAAACTGTATTATTTATTCGTATATCCCCCGCTTATTCCGCCAGTTTGATTTCATTCATGATGATGATTGGTAAACTTCAATAACAAATACGAACTGTTCATCCAAATCGAATGAAAGTATTTTCACATCCTCCTTTCGATTCAGTCACATTTTATTCTTACCTTCCTTGAAATAAACACTTTTTTTCAAAATAGCGTTGGAATAATATGGTCTAAAATGTCTTTTCGCTTTATTGGTGTAAAAAAAAAACAGAATAAGGTTTGCTATGGTGTAATTTTTCCAAATCTTTGAAATGTTTGTTTTGATGGTTTAAACAAGCATCATTCATATGTTTTGTTTATAATAAAAATTAAAAAAAAATATCATCGCCATTTAACGTTAATTGTCCAGCTTATTTCATTTGCTCAAGTTTTTGTATTTTATGAGAAATTCGTCTGAAATTGAGGCTTCTGGTGTGGAAATCAGATTTTAATATAAGCTAAAGATAAAAATGAAATTACGCCACTCGTGCAAATACTGTTTTCAAAGCTCACTCGGTGAAAATGAATTTCATCTTACAAACAAACAAACATATATCTTCTATCTTGCTATATTTTATTATAGAGGTATATTAATTAACAGAAGTAAATTCTCATTAACAAAAGCCGCAAATGAGGATAGCCAAATTGTATGAAATTAAGATAAGCAACAGGATTTTGCTCACCTAAATAAATTTGAATTGTTAGAAATAAACGTTAATACATGTATGTTTAATTATAACAGTAACAATATCGTATATTTGATCAAACTTATCATTCAAATACATGTATATAGAGAAAATAAGATTTATAGGGGTAGTATGATTTACCATATTTGTTCTCCTTTGAAAAAATACGTTCTTTTATTACAAAAATTCTTTACAATACGCAGATGACGCTAGCATTACAATGGACTTTGATAATTGGTTAAAATTCGGTATCATTTGTATCTGCCCATCTCTAAAATCAATCTTAGCTCGGGTATATTGTCTAAAGATTTTTAACATTAATGGAGACATAATGCAAGTGTCGATTTCTTCTTTAAATATCAGAATAATTGGTTTGTGTAATTCGTATGTTTCTCGAAGTTCCATTTCACACCATTGACTCTGGCAAAAATTGGTTGTCACAAAGAAAAGTCCAACACAGCTTTCTGAAATACATTTCATTATTTCATCAACGATTGGAATTCCGAGATTAAAATCTTCATTGCCAACACAAAGAAGTTCTTTGTTAGTCTGAATAAATTCCTGTAAAGACTCTTTTATTAAAGCACAAACTTGCTTGATATCTGCTTCATTATCTTCGCTAGAATAAGATACAAAACACAAATACTTTTCCGGAACATTACCACGTTTGAAATCATCAATAAAAGTGTCCCTTCGTCTCCCTTTTTTCTTCTGTCTCTTTCTGTAGTACATAAAACCAGTCCCGATGGAAACAACAGTTATTAAGAATACCACTGTTGAAACTGAAGCTATGATTACTTTTGAACGAATACAAGAAAATTCCGTCTTTTTGATCACAGTCTCATTGATGACAACATCATCTTTCTCATTCAAAGAACAAGTCAGACTTTGATTGAAAGTATTTGTCATGTAAACTAGTAACCATTTAATAAAACTTGATGATTTACAATTACAAATCAACGGATTATTCTCAAGATATATTTTTCGATGCGTTGAGAAATCTGTTACAAATGCCTTTAATGAGTTCAATTCACCACCATCAATATAATATACGTCATTGTTTCTCAAGTCCAAATACTGCAATTTCATCAACTGTTTTAATTCGAAACTGATAGAAGGTAATTTGTTATATGACAAATCTAACATAACTAAGTTGGTGTTGTAGGACAAAAACGCGAAAGGTAGAAATCTTAGACGGTTTCTAGAAAGAACCAATCGTTGTAAAATTGTATGGTTAATAAACAAATGACTAAACTCTAAAGAAAATTGCATATGGTGCAATTCGTTGTTTGAGAGATTTAATACTTTAAGTGATGTTACAGAATTTAAAAGCCAGGGAGATAAATATTCAATGTCATTTGAAGACATGTCAATAGCAGATAGAGACATATCCTCGGGCCATAGGATTGATACATTTAAATAATGTAAGTGATTTGACCTTAAATGTAATGACCGCAAATCGACATTGCATTGTGATAAGTCAATAAACGAATTGTTCGCGCTCAATGGTTTTGGCAGTACACTGTTCAGCATAAAATTTTCAACCCTCAATAGAAATTTTAAGAAACCGTTCGTGTCGGTACACTTATTGTCATAACTGTAATTATTTAGGAAATCGTAATCTACACTCATAAATCTTATCTGTAGTAGAGACAAATCTAAAACTTTAATTTTCGGCAATAAAATGTCTAAGGTAGTGCTATTGATTAACATATTAACCTGTTTAACAAACGACGTATTTGACATATCTATATCATATAAAACGATCATGGACATATTATTAACATGCAACGGATCCTTAAATAATAAATTGCATCCACTCAAGCTAAGCTTGTGTATTTTCTTTTCATTGATTGTTTTTATAAATGCATTATCAATTTTGAAAAACCGATCACCAGATGTGGCAACTTGATCAAGAAGCAGAGTATCTAGGTGATTAATTGGGGAGAGTAATGTTAGAATAGCTGATGTATCGAGATAACGACATAACGATAAGTTTAATGTGTGTAACATTGATAATCCTTCAAAAACCTTTGCCTCGTGATCGAACTTGTAAAATGGAGAGTGTACCCCAAGATGTCTCAAACTCTTTAGTGAGAAAAAATTATAGGCATGAAGACCGAACCCTACTCTGTGGTTAACTGTTATATCTAGGAAATCTACATAAGACCAACTGTCATGTGAAAACGTTTTATTATCGATAGTATTATTTAAGTAGTCCCTGATCACAATGCCTGATATTTTACTAGGTACGATGAATGGTATTCTATTTTCACATACGACAATTGAATTCTCCAGTAAACAGTCATCGTTCTTTTCCATCCGAATCAATCCTTGAGTTTCAAGTAGCATAAGGGCTAGCAAAATAAAGTGAACATAAACGCAGTCCCTTTTTGTCATTGTTTCTGAAAATAAATGACTATGAGTTAAAGTTGTATGATGTAAGGTACAGACTTTTTATAGTCATATAATTATCGAATTATTTTTTACGTTCATCATGTAAGTCTAGTTTCTTAATCCTGAAGGAAGGTACTTCACTATCCAGATTTGTCTGATTTCCATAACAGTGATTTAGTTTAAAAACAAAATTAAACAGATTTTTTTTCAATAATTTCTTCGGCTGAACGGTTGTTCTTATAAATCCCAGTTAAATTATTACAATGGTGTATTATTGTACAAGTCAAATTTGTATATCAGTTGTCAATTCAACAATCAATTTAGAAATTCTATTTTTCAATTTCCTATTTAAACATGTTAAATAGCCGAATTCTCTAAGCGAATCAAGTATTTTACAACTAAATATAAATGAATCAACACTGATAAGATTGAATAATTCTAAAGCAAAGTATTCATCAAAAAGCGTAATTAAGGTCAAAGGAAACAAGACATATAAAAATTTACAAAATTGTTTAATACATAAGTAAATCCTCCTAGATTGCAATTACTTACATGGAATTTTAACGTGGTTTTAGTACTTTTCGAAATTTATAGATTTGTTAGCAATTTATATGTGTGTATTTAATATTCACATGGCGTTATATACAACATCAATGGACACATACTACCTTGAATGAAAATACGCGATCAAACGAAAAATGAAATATTTATGTGGCAAAAAACTTAATATATACGTCATATAACTTATCAAATATTGTCTTATTTTAAAAAGGGTTGGGAACATGCTGCAGACTGTTTTAAAGTTATTGCTACAAATAATTAAAGTAGTAAAAAACTATGATTTCAAAGTTTAAACATACCCCTTAAAAGCTACAATCCGTTAATTCTATATCCAACAACGCGTGAGAAATTAATGAAACGTTATAATCGGCCATTTAGTTAAAAACTTCCTTGATCGTTATCCGGGTGTTGAATTACAAAATTCGCTTTTGATAGTAAAACATACCCGGATAATACAATAATCAAATGTATAAAGACTGATGTGATACAGTGTTTAGGTCATATAGCTTTTTGAGGTCTGCACAGGACAATTGCACCGATTAACACTTTACACGTGGCACGAGACAATTCCACCACAATGTGCAAACTGACAATTAAAGATGTTAAAACAAAATTAATAAATATAAAATATTTGTGTTTCACATCATGGCAAAGTGAATAAAATCTGATTAAATATCTACATACGCTATATAAAAAATCATATTTTAGAAATATCAAAAGGATACATGAAATATGATTATTTTTTTAAGTAAAACTATATAAGAAATAAGTGTTTAATGAAGTTTTTAGATAAGATAAGACTCACATTACGAAATTCCGTCCACGTAAATGTGTGACAAAACGTTTTTTATTTATCCGTTCCAGGGAAAATAAGGAACTCATTTTATAACTATAAAAAAGATAAAAGATATATAGCGTAATCTACCGAATCGATCGCTTAACTTGCTGAAATTATGTAAATTATTTGATGTCCATGAAGTTAGCCAGACAGCCGGAACAGCTGGAGCAGCCGGAACACATTTTTGTCTGGTTCGGCTACCCTGGCTAGCCAGAGGTGATAAAGTAAAGATATTCAAAAGATCATTGGTTTATTATATCATTTGGTATCATATTAATTATCACCTCGATCTCTGGCTATTCAGGCTAGCCAGAATTACCGAAATTAAGACTACTTATGATAAAAACAATCTCCGACGACATATTAAGAATATGTGTGTCTTCAATGGTGTGTACGCAGGTACAGGTACGTGTCCGGCGGAAATTCTCTGGTATTTTGCCCACTTTGAGCCGAAAACGTACTATAAATGATCATTCCAGCTCATATCTCGCCATATCCGGCCGGTCCCATGAGCACCAGCCTCAATTCCACTAAATTCAATATAATTGGATAGTTAGGGGATCTGACCCTGTGTCCGCTGGTATAGATATATCCGTCGGGAATAATCTCGTATTTTACAGACGTTGAGCCCACAAATCGAACTATAAATTGTCACTTCAGCTCATTTCTTGTCATTTCCGGCTTGCCCCCTGTGAGCCTAAGCCTCAATTCCATAGAACCCCTGAGGTTGATTGATTAGGCGTTTAAACGGATATCAGCTGGAATATGTGTGAAATTAAGGAAAGAGAATAAATCAAACAAATGACCCTTTGATGCAAATTTTAATACTAGACTTCTCTCAATCCTACACTCAAATAAAGAAAAATGTATACATGTATTATAATTTCAATACGAGGTTTCATATTATGGTTGACGATAGATTTCTGAACTTCCTGGATTGGAAAAGTGACTCATGGGTTACATTAATTATTCATTGCAAAATTCACCTAAAAAGCGAAAGATTTTTCGTTCAATACTTATAAATTACTTATCATAAAGAATCTTATTCGATTCGTTGATTATACTTTGCTAATTTACAATTATCTACGCTCACCGATAAACCTTCTGAACACTAATCGGAATGAGCAATGAATATATAAAGTAAATATATATTTAGCAAAATATATACACAAAAGTTATCACAACACAAGGAAGTGTAGATTCGCAACAGTGTCTGGCCTGGCCCAATCAAACTAAACCCGTAACAATTTCAATTTTTCCGTATTGGTTTCACTTTGATTTCATTTTAATGTCTCAAAACAACAACAACAAAACATAAATGCTGGTTCGAATATTCTATGAATTTTGATTTCAACAAAATTATAAATCAGAATAAAATTTTGTTAGTCCTTCAATTTTAAATGTTATGAAATTTTAAATGTAATGATGAATTTCAATTTATTTTTTCATAAAATCTTTGTATATGATAATGAAAACTTGATATTAATATTTTTTCTCTGCTTCTCATAACACAAGATTACATTATAAATTTCTTCCAGGTATCCTAAAATGCATCTAAATTTTTATAACAACTGATCTTAGATAAAGTTGCGCAACGATTGATCTTACATAAAGTTGCGAAATGTTGTTTTTATTTTATAAACATGCACAGAACCCACATCATTTAAGTTAGTTATATATAAAGTGTCTGTTTAATAACGTTCAGTTAATGTTATTGTTTAATCCGCCTATAAACCAAAGGAATTGAAAAATACTGTATCTTTTAGTTTTACATGCCACTTTATTCCCGCTAAAATGTGTAAATTAACTTATTATATTATTAATAAAAAGTTCATGTTCTTGGATGATCACTTTATTCAACAATAAACACTGGTTGTCATATATATTCAATTATGATATTAATTGTTCAGACTGAAATTATGTAATCAAAGATTAACAAAAAAAGAGCGGTGTTCAATGAAGACATACGTTCAATCCTTTCGCTATGGATGATTGTCTGTAATAGCCGTAAAGTATGTTACAATGAGATTACTTTTAGTAGCTACACATGTGACAAACGTTACAATCAAGTGAAATTATACTAAAACGAAGTCTTATTTACTTCAATGTTTCCATTATATCGTAAAGATGCCAGTTTTAGAATAGAATTCGATAATTCTTGAATATCTGGTATCATTTGTATGTCACCATGCTCTGTAACAACCAGTTTACCTCTCGTAAACTGTTGGAAGATTTTTAACATTAATGGAGACATAATCCTTGTGTCAATTTCTTCTTTGAAAATAAGTATAATAGGTTTGTTTAACTCGTAGGTTTCTCGAAGTTCCATTTCACACCACTGGCTTTGACAAAAATTCGTAGTAACAAAAAAAAGTCCAACACAACTTTCTTTAATGCACCGCATTATTTCATCAACGATTGGAAATCCAAGGTTAACATGTTCATCGATCACACAAAGAACTTCTTTACTTGTCTGAATCAATTCTTGCAATGATTCTTTTGTCCGAGCTGTAACCTGTCGAATGTCTGCTTTATAATCTTCGCTAGAATAAGAAACAAAACACAAATACTTTTCCGGGACATTACCAAGTTTGAAATTTGTTATAAAATATCCTCTTTTCCTCATCCTTTCCTGTTTCCTCCTCTTGTATATTATGAAGCAAATTGCTAAAGAAACCAAAGTTATTATAGATACGACCGTTAAAACTGAAGCAATAATTACCTTTGAACGAATGCAAGAAAACTCCGCCTCTTTAATAACAGCGTCATCAATAAGGACGTCATCTTTATCATTCAAAGAACATGTCAAAATTTGAGTATAATTATTTGTCATGTAAACGTGTAACCATTTAATAAAACGTGATGATTTACAATTACAAATGAAACGATTATGCTCAAAATATATAACACGCGGTTGTGAAGAAGACTCAGCTACAAACGCATTTAATGAATTCAATTCCTTACCGTCTATATGATAAATTTCATTATTTCGTAGATTCAGAAATTGTAATTGCAGAAGATTTTTCAGATTGAAACTGATAGAAGTAAGTTTGTTATGAGACAAATCTAACGTTGTTAAGTGGAGATTATAAGAAAATATTGTTAACGGGAGTAGCTTTATACTGTTCCTAGAAATATCTAAATGTCTTAATTTTTTGTGTTTCGTAAACAGATATCTAAACTCGATCAAAGAGTCCATTAAATGCAACTGGTTGTCTGAAAGGTTTAATATTTCTAACGACGTTGCAGACCCTAAAAACGATGGAGATAAATATTCTATGTCATTTGAAGACAGATCAACGTTAATTAAAGGTGTATTCTTGGGCCAAAGTATTGTTACATTCAAATAATGTAAATGATTTGACCTTATTTGTAGTGATTGCGTATTTATTTGACATTTTGACAGATTAATAAATGAGCCGTTAACTTGAACAGATCTTGACAATATCCGATTGATTTTCAGGTCTGTAATTTTGAAAAGAAATCTTATGAGGAGCTGGCTTTCATTGCAGCCGTAGTAATTTGTTGTTTTCTGTAGAAATTCGTAATTTATATCCAAGAGCCTAGTTTGTAAGAGAGATGCATCTAAATTATTCAGAGAAGGAAACAATTTATTCATGAGAACACCATTTAATGATATATTACCTTGTGTTATGAAAGTCGTGTTTGAAATGTCTAAATCATACAAGTCAATAAGTTGATATGAAATATTAATTGGTCCGTTAAACGACAAATTACAACCACTAAAACTCAATCTACGAATTCTTTTTTGGATGATCATTTCAATAAATGCATTATCAAAAATTACGTAACGATAACCATATGATGCCACTTGATTGAGAATCAATGTGTCTAAATAATTAAGCATGTTCAACATCTTCCTAACATCTGAGGTACCAAGGTAATGACATGATGATAGGTTCAAGGTATGCAGTCTTGAAAATCCTCCCAAAACATTAGCATGATTGTCGTCCAATTGGAAACTAGGAGAGTGAATTCCCAAACTCTGCAAACTCACGAGAGAAATAAAACTGTTGTCATTAAGACGGAATGTCTTTTTATTGTTGACTGTTATATCGAAAAAATCAATAGAAGACCAACTTTCATGTGCGAACGCTTCTTTGCTTATAGTTGCGTTTAAGAAATCTTTGATAATTACACCTGAAATGTTCCTTGGTATGTCAATAGGTATAGTATGTTCACATACGATGGTGGACTGTTCTGTTGTACAATCATCTTCATGTGTTTTTTCTATGCTTCCACTGACTTCAAAAATGACAGCAATAGTCAACACTATGTATCTAGAATAGTCAAAAGATTGTTTCATGCTGCCTGAAAATAAATATCATATACAAAATGTGCAAATTAAGATTATCAATATGGCTTTTACAATTATCGCTTTGAGATTCAAATCATTGATGTATGCAATATACTGATGTATTATATATTTGAACAATATTGTTGGTAACTGAAACTAAATTATAGTATTTATGTTTACATCAGTCACATTAATAATTTATGAATTAAAGTGTTTTTCATAGAAACAGCTTTCAGATCAATCTATAAAATTAACATATTTCTATATATTATTTTAAAACAGAAAAAAATTTAGGACAATATTAAGGGTGGACGAAGAAACTTCCAATAATATAAAAAAAATGTTGGTTATCTCATTATAATAAGGTGTCAATTCTTTTTTTTTTCTTTTTTTTCTTGAATATGATGAATTGATAAATATTTTCAAATGAAAATAGGTATTTGGACGCTCCTGGAAATATTCAGGATAACGATACTGGATCGATATATATGAAAATGTTATAAATCTCCGCATGATACTAAAAGTAATATCATGCTCATTTTTGTCATTGTCAAGTTAAACTTAACTGACTATATATTTCATGACTGTTATAATGGTAATTGACTAACAGTTGATACTAGAAAATGTTTAGAATAAAATATAAATCCGTCTGAAATTTAAAATGAATGCCCCACTCTTTTTACAAATTGAACGTCACAGGTAAATTCTGGAAGATATTTATAGAAGTTTTCTTCGGCCATGTCAGTTATTTTATTTTGATTGTCACCTATTCTCTCAATATATACCCTTAGATGACATTATGTCAAATAAAGTGATAGTCGGCTTGCTTTTACAGGGAAGAACGAAAATGCAAGGATTTTCATTGGTCATTTTAAAATAGCAAACTGAAATCCGAGAATTGCATTGGCCAGTCTAAAATTCGTATTGTGTAAAGGAGCTTTCTCAAAAGTATATACGTCAAAAGTATAAAATAATATACAGGAGTATCGGAAACACACTATATAATTCAATTTCTCCGATATTTGAGACCTGTGAACCTCCTCCCAATTAGTATTTTATACTGCTTTAAACATCTTCATTGGTTCTTATTTACCGAGTTAAAAATGACGAAACGGCAAATATTGTCCGCGATCTCGGAAAATGTGCATACCGAAAGAGAACAATGCAAGTAAAAGTTTTACCTCGACCGAGTATCTTTTTAAAGATATTTCTTGCCTTGTTTAATTTTATTTATTTATATATTCTTATTTATTTATTGTTTCACTTTGTTGTTGTTGTTGTTGTTGTTGTTGCTTTTCCATCTTTATTTAAACGAAGCGTTACTTTTTCCGGAAATCAAACGAAAAAAAATAGACAAGGGGTACATGTACTTAGTTTTAATTTTTTTTAAGCGAAATTATAATTCAGTACTGTGAGGTGAAACGAGATACATCTTAATTAACCGCTGTCATGAAATATATAATACATCATTCCGGGGCAGTTTTTTTACTACACCGTGTATTGGCGTTTGCATTTAACAAATAAACTCAACAGCAATTATGTACATATATATTTATGACTGATATTGTACATTGATGTAAATTGATATCCTAAATCCTTTCCGAAGCACCAACTGGTTTATCAAGAAAGAGGCACAATTATTTCAACACATAAAAAAACAGCATAGGAGACTATGATATAAGAATATGACAAATACACCCGTGTTTATCTAACAAAGTAAAGCACACACACACGCGCACACATGACGTAGTGGATATTAAACAAATTGATATCCTTAACGACGTTTTAGGTAAATATCCAGTACTTCAAATACGATATACGCTGTGTTAACGAGCATTGTATATAAAAATGTATGTTTATACAGAAAACAGATAGACAAATTATCATGTATTAATCATCTAATTATATTTTAATACCACTTCAGTTCAGTTGAAATTGACACACAGAGTTTCATTACTAATGTAACCAAAGCTATAAATTTAATGCTGAAACGAAATGTTGTGATAAATAAATACTTGACTTTTTTCTTGTACAATAAATAATTATTTAAATAACAAAAAGGATAGAAAAACCATTTTGTAACGCTATGCTTTTTCTTGTTTTAATAAATTGCACTTGTGATATAAAACAGTTCGTCGTTTAATCAAGTTTGATTCATTATCATTTTAATAATGAAAACAAATTCGATGAAAGTAAATATTCAAATCTACATACTTAAAATCAACATGGAAGAATATAAAAAGGAAATTTGCTTGTACCTTTTTTTTACGAATAATCCGTACTTGTAATTCTATCAAACGCCGTTCAGTAATAAAATTATTCAAAAAATATCTATCATTTCGTTATTTTATTGAGAAGAGATCTGTTTGTATAACTCTTTTGCTAATTTAATGAATCGTGTGCTGCTTTTTGTATGTTAACGTTTCACCTGGATACACTCAACTGCTTTCCACTTGAGGGTGCACGCTAAGTTTAATTATAAGGATATCACGCCGACTGCCGGTACAGACGGAAATATGTAGCTCAAGGGTAAGTACCAAGTTACCGCTAAACAGTTACCCGAGATATCTAGATATTCCGCTCTGTACCGGCTGCCGTTGTCTTTTTTCTTGGATGTAACATCTTAATATTTTTAATAGAAATTACTTGTACGAAAACTAATGTTTTTATCTAGCACTTTTTTTCTTATAGTAGCGTATGAATTTACAACTTTATTTATTATGGCAGAATGACGACATCCACAGAACGCAATTTATTTATAAAATGACTTGTCTCACACGGAATGTTAAATAGGCTTTTCTAGTACCAGTCTACACCATCATGATTACAATAGCAGCAACGATAGATGCATTAATATGATAGGAAAAATAGCAGCAGTCGTAGGTCCACGGATATTGAAGGAAAATATCAGCAACGGTAGATACATGAATAAGAAAGAAAAATAGCAGCATCGTTAGATACATCAATATGCTAGGTAAAATGACAGCAAAGGCAGAATTGTCGATATTATAGGAAAATAACAGCAACGGTAGATACATCAATATGATAGGGGACAATAGCAGCAAATGAAGATGCGTCAATATGATAGGAGAATAGCAGCAACTGTATATACAACAATATGGGGTACATAGCCAGCGCAATAGGCTGGTCCATACAATAAAAATTAAAATAAAAGCTAACTGTAATCTACTGGTGGCAAAAGCTAATTGTTCTCTCCTGGTGGCAACAGCTAACTGCATTCTACTAGTGGAAAAAGCTAACTACACGCTACTGGTGACAAAAGCTAACTGCACTCTACTGGTAGGAAAAGCTAACTGTACTCTACAGGCTTGCCACTAAGGATGTTGCCTTCTATATCCTAAAGTTTTCATGTTAAAGATGGCTGGACATTAAGTAGTAAATAAAATTGCATACATTCTTCATACTGATGGTCTTTTTTTGCAATGCATGGTCTTTTGCCAGACTTTGTAGCAAAAATATTATTTTGTGTTTTTGTTTTGGCTCATAAAAATGAACACACACTTCGTCACTAGTGACGAAATTTGCAAATGACCGTGCATTGTATTTTTGATACTACTTAGCGTATTGCAATAACTTTCGAGATGATTTAAATTTGAACACTCCTCGCTAATGTAAACATGAACCTAGTGTCTTTATAAATAAAATACAGTCGACTCCACTTATAACGAACTTGCTCGACACAATGTTTTCGGACCCAGACAAAAAAGAATAAATACGTGTTAGCCAACGAGGTTGGAGTACTTACAGCAAACATAACTAAGAAGAAGTGCTGACAAAGCAGTCATCATCGGCGTAACTTTAATTTCAATCTGCCAAAATATACCGACATTGAAGATGATACCGTTGTCCCTAATGATACATAATTGCTTTTGGAAATCAGATAGGTTATCAAACACAAAGAATAACCTTGATTACCTTGTCGTAAACTTGAAGAAAAAAAACAATACCACCTCAAATAACAAACTAAAATTAAATAGTTTAGCGATACACTTACAGTACAGTACTATCGTGTATTTAGGTAAAACTAAAAGAGAAACTGTACGAAAATAGAAATGGTCTGATATTGCTAGACTTTGAAAGTATGCAATATAAATTTCAAGTTTTAGTTTAGAAATTAATCATGTTACTAGTAATACTTTCAAAATAGACTTTCATCTAGTATGTGAATATACTTCTTTTAGTAACATGTTTATATGAAAAAGATCAACCCTATGTCTAGAAACATCTCAGGTGACTTGCATTATCATCAGAAATCCATGTTAATTGATCTATATTAATTTTGGGCAATTTGACCGTATGTCATGTATGTAATCAATACTTTTTATTATGATTTAAAGATTACATTCAAATGACAGTTTAATGTCTCAATAGTGGATGAAAGTACGCAAAGAATAAATTAAAAAAAATAATAGAGTGATCTTGATCTTTGGTCAAACTGTTGGCAACTCTCAGAGCATTTCTGTCATCAGAGCAGCCACAAAAATACATTTGAGCCGCGTCATGACAAAACCAACATAATGGGTTTGCGACCAGCATGGATCCAGACCAGCCTGCGCATCCGCGCTGATCGCAAACCCATTATGTTGGTTTTGTCATGACGCGGATATTTCTCCCTACAACAGCAGCATTTTCTCTTCGACCGTGCTAGTTTATGCGCCTGTAATATTCTCAAGAAAAGATACACCAGGTTGATATTTGGCAAACGTAACGCTAAGTATTGGACATGTATGTGATTAACACGAATTACAGTTACTAATTTCAAACTGGAGTTAATTTGAACATTTTCACGGATTTTTACGAAGTTGTCATTTTAAACCAGTCCAAATTTTTTTTGAATATGGAAGTTAGTACAAATTACTTGATACATTCTCCAGTCAATGGGCGAAAAGTCTAGCAATAAATTTGAATCAAATACACCAACTAAGTTTATTCCCTACCGGAAGCAATCAGTAAATTTAGATTATCTTCATCACTCCAGCAATCTGTCGTCTGGCACCGGTAATAAGGTGTAAATTAATTTCTTTGTTCTTTAAAAGGAATCATGAACGCGCTCAGACTTAAGTGAAAGTCTGATTCACCATGTCAGTCCGTACTGTTGAGAACCTGTCGGAATATAAATTCTAAAGTAAGTATGAAATTATATTCCTTCTTATTTTTAAGACTCCGGCAAGCATCCCTACTCCTAAGGACTTCCATGATATTTTGACATGATTGAAGATACTGTTCCAGATATATGAGCCGCGTCATGACAAACCAACATAATGGGTTTGCGACCAGTAAGAAATCCAGACCAGCCTGCGCATCCGCGCAGTCTGATCAGGATCCATCATGTTCACTTACAAACCCTATAACAAGAAGAGATACTGATAGCGAACAGCATGGATCCTGATCAGATTGCGCGGATGCGCAGGCTGGTCTGGATCCATGCTGGTCGCAAACGCACTAGGTTGATTTTGTCATAAAACGGCTCATATACTATTTGATGTAAGTTATACATTGATAACATGTGGAATTAAATCCTAAGAAATGTATAGCATTGGCTAAAATATTGAGGCTTTTATAGTTGTAAATAGCTTTATGGATGCACATCATTTATTTTCATGAAATCGGATATTTGCAAAATAGAGAACATAAGAATCCCTATAGGAAGTCCAAAACAACAAACTTGAAGTTGTTGCAGGCTCTGTTTGATTGAGAACACAATATGCATATCATATATGTTTTTTTATTTGTTACCTCATTTCATATATCAATTATAAAATAAGCATATATTCATAAATGCGTTGAATAGTATTAATAAGAAGCATAACTTAACCAAGATTAAATTCATATACATTTGTACGTTATTTGTAAAATGCATTGATACAAATTACAAAGCCATGCAGCAATTAGTCAAATATATGTGAAATGGAAATGACATTCTAAAAAACTACATCGTGCAATATCTAGAGGTTGGCGTAATAAACCCAACGAATAGCACATAAACAAGGTTTTATCAACCAGTTTGAAACAAAAAGCCATACAACATTTGGCCTGAGTCTTTTTGTAAGCCATATTCTCAGCTCGTCTTTTTTCTCTTCATCTGAACGCAGATTAAGCAATGTGTTGGTCCAGTCTATGTAACGGAATCGTTTTAGAGGATCAGCGTCCTTCCGGCAATTATCAGACCTTATAACCAATATATTTTCATGCTCAATTATTGACTCCGCTACTGACATCAAAATCGTCATTTCATATTGTAACTTAAAATAAAGGTTGTCATTCAAGTAGTTCTCCGAAAGAATGAGTATGAAAACCTTGCAGGTTCTAATATATTCTTTCAAGGCGTATCTGGTATCCATATTCCCGGGAATATCACTGTACGTGTGTACTTTATATCCCAAATCGCACATAAATGGTAAAAATAACTTTTCAGCTACATCTTGGTCTTCGTCACAATATGATATAAAAATGTCACATTTTGGTACATAAATTTTGTCTTCTGAACATTCAATTTTCTGTTCAGTGAAGAAGCAGTATAGTAAAATTCTTTGCATTTTGTAAACGATAATGGCTGCAAATAATGAGAACGCCAACATACAAACTATATAAAGGTGTTCTAGGTTTTTTTGCTGTATGAATCTTTCCTCCATTTTGGAATAAAACACATTTTGTTTCATGTATGAATCCATAATAATATCAAAAGGGTCGATATAAATGGAGCCACTCCTACAGCATTCTAACATAGCTAAGAAAAATGATGACTGCAAAACTTCATCAGGTGGTTTAAGAGTTAACGATAAAGGAAACTTTACCTCAAAGGCGTCATCAAAGACAAAATAAAACTCGTGAATTCCATAAGCCTTTGGGCAAACACAAAACGAAACATTAACTCTTAAAATTGAAGAGTGGTTCTTTACTTCAGAAGTTAGCTTGAACAAATTTCGGTTATGATGAAAAGAAACTGTCGGATTACAAGATGATTCCAATGGGCACACATCTCTAACATCCCTCCCGTTGATCAGATACACCGGTTTCATCTTGAGCCCGTGAAATCGAAACGTTGATATTTTGAAGAAGTTATTTATTGTAACCAATGTTCCTACATCTCTTTTGGCTACCAAAGGATACTCAAAAAGAATCAAACAAAACTTAAGAACTTTCCTTTCTACAACATTTTGCTCAACATCAATGAACTGCTTAAAGTCTTTTCTGAGCATTTGATATTTTATCTTTTTACCTCTTAAAGAATAATTCTCCGTGGTTTTTCTGTGTAACACATACATACCAGCGTCTTTATAATCCGTGACTTTTACAAGGAAATGAAATGAAAGTGTCCTCTCGGATGTTGTATGCCAGTAAGTATACTTTCCGAAGGAGTTTTCGAAAATTCGTGTTCCATTAAATGACCAGTAGTATTCCATATTTTGGTAAGCTGAATATTGATCGCGCGATATATCAAACGTGACTAAGAAATCCTCACCTATAAACGTTTTACAGAGTTTGCTGTTTTCTTTCATTGACTTGCTAATGCTCTCCAAGATTATCAGCCGGTCGCCTATATAAGATATAGAATCGTTCATATAATACACGTTAACGCTCTCCTCCAGGTCAGAACCACTAAACCACAGTTGATCAGGGAAAGATGTATAAGGAATGCAATCGTTTTTTTCTATTTCGTGAATATTAATCTCTTTAAGCCCATGGTCTTTGTAGAAATAATTCACTGCATTAAATAATGTATATATAATGTATATGAATGTTGATAAAGTACAGACCATGTTTAAAGCCCATATTCCATAAAACAGGTATTTCTTCCACGCTGCATGACATTGTAGAATATCATTCTGTAGTTTTATCCAGAGCTGTATTTTTTCTATAACTTGCTGAAACCAACTGCATACCGATGGTATCAAAATGAATTGAAAGTACAGAATGAAAAGACCAAGAAAAATAGAAAAATCTATACCTACATCCAAAATATAGTACCATAATAAACACGAAAATACAAATGACAGACTATTTAAGATCAATGAATTCTCAAAGGCAGTGCTCTTCGGTAAAAGTTTAGTTGCACCATAAAAAGAAATCATGTGAAGTGTAAATAAATAAACAAAATATTTTCCTTCAAATGCGAAGAATAAAGGAAAATATGTTCCACATTGAACTATACGTAGACATATTCCACCAAATCTTGAGGAAAACGCCATCACTCTGATCTGTAAGGAAAAGAAGACAAACTGTCAAATTATAGAAGCATATTCATTTAATTCAATCAAATACATAATATGAGTAGTTTGAAGCTATGGACCTTTGCTCAACTCGGTGTTGTTCTTGTCTTCCTTTTTTCAATTCCTTTCACCAAAGTAAAAAGTCTTAACACTCCAAATAGAAACAAGAGCCATGTCAACATGGCCATCCCCCGCCGAATGTGTTTGCTCATTGGAAGAATGTATATGTAGTAGAGCGGAATAATTCCATTTTAAGAGGTCTTTTGGTAATGAAAACTGATGGCTATAGTGATTACAGACTTTGAAACCTATGTGAATACTGATGGCTGAAAATAACAAAGGGCAATTACTGAAAAATAATGCAGGGTAGGTTATCATTCTTGTGTGCTGCATCCCTCCTCAGTAAAATCTATCCACCTATGAAGTTTCAAGTTGATACCTCAAATACTTTTTGAGAAAAAAATTGAATTGAAAAATTAAGTATGAAAAAGAACAAAGGGCAATAACTCAAAAATTATAAAAGGTAGAGTTATCATTCTTGTGCAGTGCACACCTCCTGAGTGAGATGTATGCACCTATGAAGTTTCATTTTGATATCTCAAAGGCTTTTTGAGTTATGCTCTGGACAAAAATTAATTTTAAAAAATAACAAAGGGCAATAACTCAAAAATAATGCAGGGTAGAGTTATCATTCTTAAGCACTGCACTCCTCCTCAATGAGATCCATCCACCTTTGAAGTTTCAAGTTGATACCTCAAATACTTTTTGAGATAACCTCTGGACAAAATAGCATAAAAAAGCAAAGGGCAATAACTCAAAAATTGTATAGGGAAGAGTTATCATTCTTGCGCACAACAATCCTCCTCAATAAGATCTATCCACCTATGACATTTCATGTTGATATCTCAAACACTTTTTGAGTTATGCTCCACTCAGGTGAAAAATTAGGTATGAAAAATAACAAAGGGCAATAACTCAAAAATTATGAAAGGTAGAGTTATCATTCTTGTGCACTGCACACCTCCTGAGTGAGATCTATGTACCTATGAAGTTTCATGTTGATATCTCATAGGCTTTTGGAGTTATGCTCTGGACAAAAATCAATTTTGAAAAATAACAAAGGGCAATAACTCAAAAATCATGCAAGGTAGAGTTATCATTCTTGTGCACTGCACTCCTCCTCAATGAGGTCTATCCACCTATGAAGTTTCAAGTTGATAACTAAAATACTTTTAGAGATATGCTCCGGACAAAAATGTCGGACGGAAGGACGGACGGTCGGACGGACGGACGGAGACTATTTCTATATCCTCCGCCGAAATTTTTCGGCGGGGGATAATTAAATAGTATTGATAGGTAAAATTCGTTGCAAGATTATTTTAGCCATGTAGTCACAATTTCACTCAATCTGTAAATGATGCCTTCAAATATAAATAACTGACAATTAAAAGACAATTTCACAATAGCTATCAATGAGAATTCCGAATTCAGAGCACTTCACGACTGGAATCACTATAGTGACCGATCAATATCAACTTCAATTTCTAACAAAAATAAAACAACAACAACAACAACAACTAAACCAGACAAAATTCTTGTTATTGTCTCTTGTGCCATCTCCCTAAATTATTCGTTATCTTTCAATGTGAAAACTTGACTTCAGGTTCGGCTTTTGAACAAATATTAATATTGTTCGTATACACATTTCTCATATATATCACAGTGGTGTTACCGAAAGTTTTACCCATGCCCAAAATTTTATCAGGCATCGGTGCCAGATGAGTCCCGTCATTAATAATGACAACATTTTGGCGAATTTTATAAATCAGTTGCTAAGAATGATTTCATTCTTTGGCGATATGTAGAGAGTTGAAAATTCATAGAAGATTCATAAAAAAGTGGCAAGTTATTCAACAATGAGACATAAACCCTACACCTTGATTCCAAACTCTCAAGATTTTGCTAATGAATATGAAAGGCATTAGACTACTCGTATACGTGCCAAAAATATTTCTAGCGACAATAAACTTAAACTTTAGTTTAATCCAAAACTCCATAGAGGGAGAGGACCATCCAAAGTATCTTCCTACAAAATATGGCATAATGTGATGCTAAATATTTGTGCATGAAACCATTAATAATTTGGCATCAGCTAAATTTTAGTCTTAGAAATGTTTGCAAATGAGCTGCGCCATGACAAAACCAACATAATGGGTTTGCGACCAGCATGGATCCTGACCAGTCTGCGCATCCGCGCAGTCTGATCAGGATCCATGATATTCGGTATCAGTTTATCTACTTGTTACATGGTTTGTAAGCGAAAAGCATGGATCCTGATCAGACTCTGCGGATGCGCAGGCTGGTCTGGATCCATGTTAGTCGCAAAACCATTATGTTGGTTTTGTCATGGCGCGGCTCAAATATGTTCGCTTGAGACAGACCCTTTCTGTCGATTGGAAAAGTGTCAGATCTTTCTATTTGAGATACGTAAAGTAATTGTCTATTCACATATAATATAAATCATTAGTAAGTTTATGTTACCGCGAATATAATACATATCTTTGCCTGACCCCCATGTCAACCTCTATTTGCATTGATTTGTTTGTACTAATATTAAATGAAATATAAATGTTTAATTGTTTACTACATATAAGCACATTCATTCCCGTTCAATTATCTGCGAATTCGCTATGGCGAGTTAACCATAAAGTGACTAATAGCCACTCCATCTGTACTACAGTACTTTGATTATTAGGAGTGACCGACTGGTTTAAACATGTATGTCTAAGTTTGTGTATTTAAACCACTGTCAGTGTGCCAATCTTAAATTTATTTTTGTTATTACAACTTGTGTTTCACTTTTAACAAAGATGATATGCTTTTAAAATTTATTTAAAAAGTGAAAAAAGTTAATGTAGTTACCTTGTAGTCCAATGAATAGAATATCTGTGCCCATGTCACTAATGTAAGTAATAATAACGTGTGGATTTTATGAACGTATCGATTTTGGAAGTATGTCAATAGATCTATTTTTATTATGGATAGAAACGAATACCAAAATTAATACTCTAGTATTCGGTCATTATTCCGATCGAGTACTCTGGTAATCGGATGATTTCCAATGATCTTCAAAGTTTATCACACAATATCAACACCCTCTATGCTACTTTCGTTTACTATCTAAATACTATAATAAATAGGACTGCAAGGGAGGTAACTTAGAATATAACCAAAAACAAAATTAATAAAAATTTAATCAACAACGTTACATTTTACAACGTTTTATAAATGCACAATTTAAGGTAATTTAATATCATGAGAGGAAAAATGACGAAAGCGACACAGGCGCGTGTTAAACTGTTTATCGACTCCTTAAATTTACGATATCATTTTCGCACCTCGACTGCACTTACATCTCCGAATTTCTGACCGAAACTTAAAAATGCCAAAAAACAAGGTCGTCAAGCTTGGTTAGCCTTCGACACGCTTTTTATTGACGGGGTACCAGTAAGCGATAAAGAGTCCGACAGAAGCCAGATGCAGAACGGGAACCTGAAGTAGGGACTCGATGAGGCTGGACTGTCCATATTATCATGGAATGTAAATGGACTTAATAGATCTAAATTAGAGGACAATGATTTTATAAAGAAACTGTGTAATAACGATATTATATTTTTGTTTGAGACTTGGGGTAATAAAAATTCTAATTTTGATATAGATGGGTATACAACTTTTAATTTCTATCGTAAATTTCAGAACCGGCGAGCAAAGCGATCTAGTGGTGGGGTATTAGTATACATTAAAAATGAAATAAGTAAAGGGGTTACCGTTGTACAGAATCATTTTGACACTATCATTTGGTTGAAACTTGATAAAATATTTTTTAATCTTACAGATGACATTTACTTAGCTGGTGTATATATATGGGTGGAAGGTTCCCCTGCTTATAACTTTATCAATGGTGATTTATTTGATATTGTTCCAAACGATATTTTACTTTATGAAAATCTTGGTATTACATTGTTTATGTATAGAATCCTTTGTAAATGTTGTGAGAAGCGTGGCAGATCCATTATTTTGTAAACGTACTATAACATATATTACGCCACGTGCCGATGGTAAACTATGTAAAAAGGCGGAGTGGTTTGATGAAGATTGCAAACGTTCAAAAGAGGTATATTTAAATTCTGTATATAAATATAATATGTGTAAAATGATGTAAATAGAATAGAATTTTGTAATAATAAACTAATTTATAAAAATGTTGTTAAAAAAAAGAAACGTACGTAGTTATGAGTTAAAAAAATTAAGAGAAATTGAACGCCTTCGTCACTGTAAACCTAAAGATTTTTGGAAATTGTTTACTAAAAAGACGATACATAAGAATAGTGTTTCCATAGAAGATTTCTATGAGCATTTTTCTACCTTAAGTAATGATTTGCCAAATGTTTTGCATGCCGAAAGTGAATTATTTTGTGAAAATTTAGATTTTTTAAGTAATGATGTACTGTACGAGGAGCTAGATGAACCTATAACAGTTGATGAGATAAATTGTGTTATTTGTCAGTTAAAGAAAAATAAGGCTTTTGCAGGTGACCAGTTATTGAATGAGTATTTTATAAATTCGTCCGATATTTTATCATCGCATTTAGTTGATATTTTTAATGGTATTCTGAACTCTGGTTTTTTTCCAGATTCATGGATGGAAAGTATTATTGTACCTCTGTTTAAGAAAAATGACCCTGCACTTGCTAGTAATTATAGAGGAATCAGTCTCGTTAGTTGTTTTTCAAAGATATTTACAGGTGTTCTGAATAACAGATTGACAAAATGGTCTGAAGAAAACGACAAAATTAGTGATGCACAATTTGGATTTAGGAAGGGTCGCTCCACAGTTGATGCTATATTTGTTTTAAATGCTGTTGTTCATAAAATTTTAAATGAAAATGGACGTCTTGCATGTGCCTTTATAGATTTTCAAAAGACTTTTGATAGTGTTTATCGTAATGGTTTATGGTTTAAACTATATAACATTGGTGTACGTGGAAAAACTTTAAGAATCATCCATGATATGTACTCTAAAGTAAAAGCACGAATAAGGAGCTGTAAACCATATTCAGATTTCCTGGAATGTTCAATTGGTCTTAAACAAGGGGAGGTAATGTCCCCGATATTGTTTTCTATGTTTTTAGAAGATTTAGAAATGTATTTATTAAATTATATTAATTCTGGTTTAACATTAGATGATATTACATTTATTCTCATGTTATTTGCTGATTATATTGTTTTTTAAGTAAATCCCCTGAAGACTTACAAAATAGTTTAAATACATTATATAATTACTGTACTTTATGGGGCCTTAAAGTAAATGAAGGTAAAAGTAAGGTTATGGTTTTTAGGAAGAGGGGTCCGATTAGAAATAATGAGTATTGGACATATAATAATATTCCCTTAGAAATAGTCGACAATTTCAATTATTTAGGTACTGTTTTCAATTATACAGGTAGTTTTACCTTAAATCAAGAGTATTTAGTAGGGAAAGCTCTAAAGGCGTTAAACGTTTTATTGTTTAATAAAAAACAGACACCGGTTAAATTTAGTACTTCTTTGCAATTATTTGATGCTTTTGTTGTATCTATTTTAAATTATGCCTGTGAAATATGGGGATTTAGTAAAAGTAAGGAAATCGAACGAGTACATCTAAAATTTTGTAAGTCCATGCTATGTGTTAAGCAGTCAACTAGCAGCATGGCTATTTATGGTGAGCTGAAAAGGTACCCTTTATATGTAAACAGATATGTACGGATTATCAAATTTTGGTCAAATATTGTTAACAGTAATAATGTTATAGTTAGATACTTATATACATCAATGTTAATGATATCAATAGAGGAAAAAAAATAACTGGTTGTCTAATGTGAAAATCATGTTAGATAATGCAGGTTTGTCATATATATGGTATAATCCAAGTATTTATAACCTTAAAAATGTACATTTATTATTTAAGCAAACTCTTATTGATCAATTCATCCAGTCATGGTATCATAATGTAACAACTAGCCCGAGCCTAGGCACATGTAGACTTTTCAAGACGTCATTTGAGTACTCACTGTATCTTGATAAAATTCCTAAGAAATTTAGGATTGCTTTTACAAAATTAAGATTATCATCTCACCAACTTAGAATAGAAACTGGACGGTATGGTAATTGTAGAAATGAACGTAGTGAGAGATATTGTCTTATTTGTAATACACGTGATAAAGAAGACGAATTTCATTTTGTTTGTATTTGTAATGCTAATAATGATATACGTAAACAGTACTTAAAGAAATATTATTATAATAGACCTAGTGTCCATAAATTCGTTGAACTAATGCAGAATACCAACAGCAACATGCAACTTAAATAATGTAAATATATATATGAAGCGTTTGAAATACGTCAGGGTATTGTTAATATGATATCTGAATAAGCTTATTACTGTATATACCAAAAATATACAAATTGTCCGTGTTGTAATTCAATAATTTCATGAAACATTTGACTGATTTTGATTGTTTTTTAGCTGTAAGTCATTAAATATACAAAATCTCCATTAGTTCAACCTCCTTGTTTCCATTTTCTTTCTTGTTTTGACTATATGTATCATATTTTCCGCTAAAAATATAATTGTCTATAAATTTGTGTCATGTTGACATGTTATATTGTATCATTGTATATATGTGTTGTGTAGCAAGAAACGTCATGTTTACGTTACCAAATAAAATATTTTGAATATTGAATCTTGAATCCGAATTTCTGAACTCATTGGATACAGTAAGTAATAATAGAAAGAGCACCGGAACACGAGGCTATCTGATTTGTACGAAGGGGCGTAGCCCCCGAGTATTAATCAGATTGCCAGGTGTTTTGATGTTCTTTCTCTTTTGTATCATAGTCAAACATAAAAACACGTTCCTGTTGTGACAATATGAAACCCCGGGAAAAAGTAACCAATGAACGAGCATCTAAATATGATATTTCTGTCGCTTTCCTTTTCTCTTCCGTCACAATAAGTAAACGCCAGCAAAAATGAGCCAATCAACGGGCATGCTCTGGAGTGCGGGTAACTAATACATGCACTCCAGTTAACGCACTGTGCATGTATATGTATACGATTTAACTCTGACACATTTTCAACAGAAAAGTCCCCAAACTATGATGCAAATGAAATCTTATATTTCTTCAAGCGCCAATAATTAAAACAAAGATATCTCTGATCCAATGATTTAGGTTAATATTTGAATATACGTGTATTCGTATTCAGACACGTACAAATGCGATTTATCAGTGTTTTAAAGGTTTCATTATATTTAAAATCATTATAATATTATAATCAATATTAAATATCAATAAAGACACAAACAATTAAGGGGAAAAAATCTGGAATCAAAACGATCCATCCGAAGCACTTATCACAACAAAATTACATGAAAATCGCAGACTCGGTTTGATTGAGTCTGTACATGAGGGATTATGAATAAGTTCAACATCCCTCACAGCCCCCCACGGCCCCACCCCCCCCCCTTGGCACTGGCTTGAGAGGTACTTAATTCTCAAACAATTAACAGTGCTGGCATCAATGATCCGAATGACCAGAAAAATATAACAACACTGAAAGAATATAAATATAATGCAAATATAATTCTACATTAAGCCGGTGCTAGGGTGGCGTGAACGGTAACTTGCACTTTCTAGTACCGTCCATTAAGGCCCCCACTATATGTACATGTGTAAAAAATAGCAAGAAAGACATCATTTGGCGACTGTATAGTACATAGAGGTACCACCGTTTAAACGGTATCGTTTCGGTTCTTGGCAATCGTGTTAACGTTTTACAAAATAAATTGTAAACGTGCATGGGAGTATGGAGCAGAATTTGGGTATTTATTCATTTGACTACTTGTAGTTTTCATTTGCTTAAGTTTAAATCACATTCCTGCAAATTTGATTCATCTGTGAGTAAATCAAAGTTCTTTACTTAAATATTTATTTATTCTTTCTTACTATGTTTATAGTAAGTTGTAATATTCTAAAGCCAATGCCAGTACTTCATCTTAATTCGTTAAATTTAATATTAGATACCAATCAATTACTTTTTGTATTAAACATGTGCTACATTGTATT